TCCAAGGTTGTTCCTTCTGTGTGACGTATTGACATAGATGCAATTTTTGCCGATTCTAAAAATAGTAATTTTGTAAATAACGATGTTATTCGTCAATGATTATACATGAGAAACGCATGGGGGGGGGGGGGCATACTGAATTGTTTATGAAAGACACCTCATTTGTTACGCTCTCAGAACTTCAGAGGATTATCGACTGCCCGAAATACTTCGGAAATGTTTGCTTTCAGTGAACGTAGAGAAAAGAAAACAATAATGTTTGGTTCATTTTGATGATCCATCATGACGATATCTCAAGAAGTCAGCCCTGCATTTTGGAAATTGGTAAAATTATTTTAAAAATTATGGGTAATCCAGAGTTCATAGTATAAATCGCTGATCCCGGTGCTCATATTATTCACTTCGATTTCAAATGAAGAGACAAAATAAATAATTTTGAGAAGACAATAATTTTGAAACGGTTCACATGTTACGGAAAAAAATTTAAGAAAAAACAATCTTTCGAATAAGCAAGAAATACTGTATATAAAAAATTATTCTAAAATATTATTCGCCATAAATCCCGAATAATCCATGATCACTATATGCAAAGTAAATCGAGCGCTGTAAAATTAAAAACACGTAAGAATAGCATTTTTAATTCAAAAATAAAAGTGATTATTCAACAGGCTCAAAGAAACAATCCTATTGTGGATAAAAAAAGGTTTTTCGATAATCCCTATAATATTATTCCCAATGAAGATTCGCCTTCATAGTGCATAAGTACTCAAAATTACCAACTAGGAAAAAGTCGAAATTTCCAGTGTTTGTCATTTGTCGTTGAGTCAATTGCCTCTTTGTTCAAATATTCTATGCAAAAATCAGTTTCAAATTTTGATCATTATTGTGTCGGATGTGAAACGAAAAATTAATACAACTGCTTCGTTACAGTATTTAGAGGATAAAAATCGTCTATACATCTTTGATTTAATTTATATAATCCAACGTAATAATGAAATTTCAAATATCTGAAAGACACTACTTCCGAAATATAATAACCTTGGGGAAGCCCCAACATTATATAATTGCGGTAACTTGGAAAAAAATCCCAAGTGTCAATCAAGGGAAAACCAAAATACTGTAGTTTTTTTACCCTTAGGTATTGGAACTCGAATCCTGACCCTCAATGTTGGTAATCTCTGAATAAATGAATGCAATGCGATATTTAAAAAAAAAAGCGCAAATCGTTATATATCATGAAGTGTCAGTCATTGGTATTAAGACTGGGATCTACGGTATTTGCTAACTGCCACTCACAACTTTATTCCGGGTTGTACATTACAGCAAACACCCAACAGCAATAAGCAATTGATCCATTTTGACAACGACGCAATCAAGAAAATCGCGCACCGTCGATTGGGACCAAAAGAAGACAAGTTCCTCTTCACCGTGAAGTGGTCACCATCAGATATTCCTGTGGACGGTGATGTCATCATCAGGTAAAATAGTCGCCATATTACTCTATTTTTTTTAGAGCCTTTATGCCTGTATTGTATTCTGAAGCGTTAAATTATGTAGCGCAGTACTGTAATTCATTATTTTGGAATACCGGCATTAGAAAAATCTGTAATGCGGTTTTCCATCGGACGCTGTTTTACAATTTTACTTTAAATCGAGGTTTTTCAAAATCGGGGCTCCGTGTGAAAAATCAAAAATAATTTTGTGTGCACCGCGGAGATTCTATAAATAAATTTGCTGAGAAATTTATATTGCGTTCAAGATCAAAAAATGTAAAGACGGCAAATAATTGAGAAGAACTAATACAGTGGGTCAGCATTTCAAGTTACGAAATTTATTCATGGTATGTTGTCATTCTTGAAACTGAAAAAAAATTCATTCGATAGACATAATGGTAAATTTAAAGGCCTCCATCGCGGAATAATTTTAATTTATCATACGGGCTCCAGTAAATAAATTTTTTTTAATTGCTCAATGCTCCTCGTCGGGAAAAAAAGATTGATTAACTCGGTTGTATATTAAAATATCTAAATATAGCTCGACACAGCATCACAGCATTTCTGCAAATTTTTCTTCGTGTTTCAGTGCTTATTGGAGAAGAGGTGGGACCTGGTTTGCGAAGCAATCAAGTCCACATCCAATTATCGGCAATCATTTCGCGGATAGAAAAGCTGCTTTTATGATGGCCAATTCAGTGGAGAAACAAATTTTTAATTTACTTTCAAGAAAGCTGATTCTGTTGTGCTGTGCAAAACAGCGCCGATCCACAGAAAATAAGGAGGAAAACTTGCCTTCGAAACACTTCGGTTCAATTTTCGAAAGGCTTTCTCGTTTATAATTGAATTTATGAGGGAATTTTAAAGACTGAGCAGTGCAATATTTTCTTATAAATCCGAGTTCCTTCAAAATTCAAATCGCATTCATCCTCAGAAATGAAGTGCCTTTGAATTTCCCCCCGCCATTAAAAATAAGAAAGACCGTTTGAAATTTGAATACTTCATACAAAGGAGTGCAAGACAAAAACAAATCCACTGTTTATTTTTAATAGGGAGGTGATTCTGTCGTGCTGTGCAAAACAGCACCGACTCGTTCCAGTCTGAATATTTCCGTGGATGCTTATTGGAACTCTGGGAAAACCACGCCAACGCTTTTGGATCCCGTGAGTTTTTTTTAATAAACCTCAAAAATCCTATATTATACTGTATTTTATTTTTGGAAATTATGTGCTTTCAGTCTCCAGCTGGGGTCGTGATTGATCCGAATGGAAGATATGAAAACGGAGACATGTATTGCTCATTTTCGCAAAGTGTCCAGACGACAGTCGCCAGTAACAAATTTGACTTGTACAAGGAAAGCTACTTTGTTTTGCTGGCTGCTGGACCGATCCGTAACGATGGTATTATTCCTTTTCATATTGAAATTAAATTTTAAAAAATCAAAACAAGTAGTAAAATACTATTTTCAACTTTTGAAAAAAATGTTGCATGACAATTTTTACAAAAATATACTCTATTTTCTCTGCAGGAACTCTAGCTATTCACACAGTGCGAGGAGCTCCGGGAAGTGCAGTAAATTTGACAAGCGTGGAAGGAGCCGATCTGACCGGGGAAGCCCTGGAATTGGCACACGGAGTGTTGATGATTTTCGCTTGGGTTGCAGCGGCATCTAGCGGGATGCTCGCCGCCAGATATTACAAACGGACCTGGGTTGCTTCAACCCTCCTCGGAAAAGCTGTGTGGTTTACGGTAACTATACACATACACGAGACTGTAAAAATCAAATAAAAGGGAATAACTAAAATAAACTGAGTAAGTTTGCGATTTGGACGATGGACTGTACAGCTGTTGACGAAACAATTACGTTCGGATTTTTAACGGAGTTTTTTTTTTTGAGACTATTGATATGTTTTGAAATAAAATGGGGTATTCAAGAATATTTTGCACCCGAAATACGCTTAGGGCTATTTTCTGGATATGTTTTATATTTTTCGAAAAGCGATCTAAACTCATTCAATAGCAATTCATTTTTACAATATTAATGCGAGGTAAAATATTTTAGTAATTCTTTTGATACAAAATTGGATTTTCTGCAACTCATCCAATCCATTTAAAAACTGTTTTCACCGTGGTCGACATTAGAGACTTGTCTAATTACTGTACTGCATGTTATTCGAAAGAAGACACTTTGTATAATGTTCCTTATTGCACGAACTCATATTTTTGGCGAAGGACACGTAAACATTTGTAGGATTTTTCTTGCATTAATTGTTTCTTATTTCGGGGTCAACTAAATTACAAGCATGTCGATGGTGGCTTTAAAAAATGTACCTTGAACTTATCTTTTGGCGCGTAATTAAAATGGTTACTCGATTGTCACGATCTAGTAATTGCTGTGGTTGATGACAAAACTGCTCGGATAAATTCGCAAAAGGATTATTGATTCAATATTCGTGAAGATGAAAACGAAAGGTGCGTCAGTGAAGTCAGTGTTTCGTATGAAGTTGACAAACCCTGTGGTCATCACCATATACAATTATGGTACTGTATTTTTTGTTTTTACACTATTTTATTTTGAGAATATAGGTTAGAATCAAACCTATATGCTCGAAAGGAATTCGAGAATATCATAACGAGATGATTCCTTTTTTGAAGTTTCACATAGAAAAGAACTGACATTTGATTCATGATCTTTCCTTGAATGACGTTTGTTTTCAATCCTGTTTCGTATCCAGATTCATCGAGGCTTGATGGCACTTACGTGGATTCTGACAATCGTGTCATTCCTCATTATTGTGATAAAAGAACAAGGATTTGAAAAGGGTTACCATCCCACAATCGGGATCATCGTATTGGTTCTGACTTTCATTCAACCGTTCTTGGCCGCAATAAGGTGCAGCCCCAACAACCCGAAAAGGATCTGGTTCAACTGGTCCCATTGGCTCATCGGAAGTTTGGCTCACATTCTTGCGTGTAAGCTTCTCATGTCCTCATTGTATATCACTTGTCTATTCATCTGTATACTTGATTGTATGTACAGTTAATTTCATGATCCAAAAAATGTCCGGAATTTTGAAAATATGCTCGGAAAATCAATTAATCTATATATTTATGGACGCGCGAGAATTTATTCAGCCCATTGTTTTTAAATCACCCTAATAATGACGTTTCTTCCGAAAAAACTCGAGCAGCTGCAAATTTCATTTCGTGATAATGACGAAGATATTTTTTTTAAACGGCGAGCAGGTATATTTTTAATTTCAATTTTATATATGTTTTGTCATACCAACAGGTGTTAATATTTTCCTGGCATTCGATCTTTGGCAAGCATCTGAAATCGGTTACTACATTTTCGGGGCGTTCGTGATCTTCTACTGCCTTTCCCACGTCGGCTTGCAGGTGAACTACTTGCTCGAGAAAATTATGAATAAGAAACAAGCGTCCTTATTTCACAAAGTAACGTGTTATATTTTATGGTTTTGATCAGTTTCAAAGATACATGATTGAGAAAAGCGAAAGAAACAGCACTTCTCCAGTGGTCGATGGGAAAAGCGACTACGATCTCTTGGCGTCCAAAGAAGCAAGTGTGAGTATTTTACAACGTTTTTAAATTCTTTCTGTATTTTCATGAAAAGAAAGCAAGACCTTTTTCGAATCAATGTTCAATTGCTTCGATTTTTGCCTTATTTTTAAACTCAGAAACGTTACAAAACACTCCGTATATTACATAGCGGTCATGTGGTATGTACCTGCGATTGAATTGGAGGTACTCTAATTGTATTCAGGCGACCCGAAATACGTTTTCAATGGAAATATATACAGTACTATAATTTATTCAAATAAAAATTTCAGATGCTCATTGATTTCACATAGTAGCGAAATAGAGTAATGAAGAAAAAACATTCTGTAAGATTTTTCATCCCAGACGAATAAATATCTGCTTTGAGGAAGGAAGCAAAACCTAAAAAAAACTAATGAGCATCAACATTGTTATGGTTTTGGAAACAAATGCAGCACCAGGAATCAGGGGATTTTTTGCTTGAAATAAAAAAATTATGATATGAAAAATCTATACTGTAATATATTAAATTTATAAAAACAAAATGTTGCCTCGATAACAGACTTCCCACTTCTGTACTACGCGGAGAATTTTTCTCTCAAGAAAATCTTTTATTTGCGGCTATTTTCTCTTCGTCTTTTATACTTGCTCTCTGAAGATTTTCATGATCTGCAATCTATACTGTACTTCTGTAACAATTTGCCAGTTCTTGAAAAGCCCACCCAGGAAAATTGTTGGTACCATGTGGCATATTATTAATATGGCACAGTACCAGATGTAAAATGCGTTCACTGCAGTTGAAAAAGCCCACATCTATTTATACAGATATATAATTTTTTTGTGATCATGGAAATATAGCGGTAACAAAATAACTTCATTTGCGATTCTCTCTGTAGGTGAAAAATGACGAACGGGAAATTACTTTTGGCACCATTACTGTTAAAATGCGTTAGACTATTATATTTAAGGTACTACAGTTTGTTTTGTTGAACATGATCAAAAAAACTTGATCTCCAACAAAACAAAAATTGTGCGCATCTAATGCAGGGCATTTTTTTGGTGCAAATTCCAAGAATCTAAGCCCCAACCAAAATTGGGATGTGCGTCTTACTCAAGGGTGCCTGGCACTTGAGGAATTTGTGTACAGTAAGCTCAGCTATCTAAAACTTTAAATAATTCCTGATACAGTAATACCTTATTTCAGTTTAAATCGGGTCATTTTAAGAAAATGCCGGCGGGAGTTGATTGCAAATATGACTGCCGTATACATGCTTGTACGCTTAATTTATCAACAGGGCTCAGGACTGAGAAGAATGATGTTCGGACTCACAATAGTCGTCAACGTCGGAGTGTCAATTGCACTGTGCTTGGTTTTCTCTCGCAGCATAGGAGGAGAACCTCTTACCGAATGGACAGACGCTACGTAGAGACAAAATACCGCCCTAATGTATATGTCTTATATTATGCTCCGATCGCGGTTTTCATCAGCACAGGAACGAGCTGCATACCGGTGCAAAAACCCAGATTCGGCGGTGAAGAAAATGAATTGCGGATTCGATGTGAATTGATGTTCTCAAGAAAGGATTGGATGGAGGAATCTGGAGGGACTTTGTTAAGTGTTTCAAATTCATGTATTCATCAAAAGGAAATCATTAATGCTGGATGCAGCATATATGCGCAGTTGCGCACACACAGGAATTTAACGAAGTGAAACAATTTCTAATCGTTTAATCCCGGAATAAAAATAAATTGAAATTTAATACGGGAAATAAATGCTACGAATTTCAACTGCAAAAATTATAAAAAGGCATGCTATGAATTCAGAGCTTTAAAACCAATGGCATTGGCGTGTAATCCTGGCGCCCATGAGTTGGACCCTCTGGAACGAAAGATTTGCGCTATCTTTGGTACGAAGTCGAACAAGAAACCGTAACTCCTTCCTATTCTACTGCTCAATCTCAAAATTCGAACGCAATGATTTCAAAATGAACTTACGGCGAAAAACAAGTCAAAAAGCGTTTTTTTTTTTTTGATTTTATGGCACAAACACAAAGGGACAAATGCATTTTTCTGCATCATCGATCACTCGTCATAGTGATTTCCGGGATTTGAAGAAATGCCCACCCCTGTTTTGTAAATTCTTGATGGTAATAGCCTATTTGATCAGGGGTGAAAATTTTGGATTTGATTTTGCAGTCTCGAAGACACATCGTCGACAAAATATACATTTCAAGCATTCAAAGATTAACGACAAAATATACATTTCAAGCATTCAAAGATTAACGTGAGCGTTTTTACTTTCAGAAAATCCTTTATTGCGACCAATTATGACACATACGAGAATCGGGGAAATACGCAAGAAAAAACGCAGCCGCGAATGGTTTCGTTTACCTCCTCCAAAAAATAATTCCGCTAAGCAAGAAGCTCCGAGGTTTAATTAATCCACAAAAATGCCTGTTTCCATATTTGCACAAAGTTTGAGTCCTCACTGATGATGCTCAGTTCTCACCTAGGTATTGTAGACGCGCCGAGAAGGGTTTTCCGGTCGTGAAACGATTGATCAAGTCGTATCCCAAAACGGGTTGGTCGTAGGGCACCATGTGTCCAGCATTACGAACGAGCACTAGGCCGAAATTTTCATACTCCTGAGCGTAGCCCGCAGTTACAGCGCCAATTTTCCACTGATGTCTCGGGGAGTCCTTGAAATCGGCAGCGTGTCTCCAGCGCAGGGAACGCACGAAATTCTCCGTCAGTGGATAGGCCACAATTATGTCCAGTTGGCCGTTGAACAGCAAAACCTGAAGGAAAGAAACAATACAACAGAGAGTATGCATAAATTCAAGGTTCATACATAAAATACGGTGTACGAAAAAATGCAGGAAAGTTGAAATAACGTCAAATGAATAAATCTGCCTGTGATTCCTATTTTGTTAATTGTTTCCAAGCAGTTTTGCACGTGCGAAATTTTCTTGTTTTTGAAAATGAAGCACAGTACTGTAGCCAACAAAAGATTAGCCTCATTATATCAAATGACACCAGTGCCATTTTAACTGTTCCGGCACTTTTTCCATTTGTAGACAGAAACTTTGAGACTAGCTGTGGGAACGTGGAAAACTTGATAGAGCGCTAATTATAACCGTTTTATACTGTTTAAGGGACAATCGAAATCAATTCAACCGATCTGAATTTTCTTCTTTCGATTGGTAGAAATTATGCATCTAGCAATGATCAGTAGAAATTTTTCCTACCCATGCTTCATGGCTATAAAATGCTTCAGCTATCTCTCGAAAAGCATAATTGTCAAGAGAAGGGAGAGTCTCCGAAAATAAGAAATTCCATCTTTCTCTATGATCAAAAGAACAGTGCTTGATTACCCTGATTCCCGAGTTGAGAATGTCCTCAAACCACGGCTTGACTGACTTCATCATGTCCTCAAAAAGCAAACTTTCCACTTTAGATCCATTGTGGAATGCCTTGTTACCGACATGGATTGCTTGTCGAACTTCAGGACGGTTAATGAAGTCGACGTAGTAACTGAACTCCTTGGGCTCACGGAACTGAAGAATGTTGAAGTAATAGTCGGATCCCGTCACGTTTTTGAAGTACGAAGCCTTGTTGAAGTCTCCGTCCAGAAGTTCATCGAACAACTAAGAAATAAAATAGGAATTTCCTGATATTATTCACTGTGCATTATAGTGTATCGCCGAATACAGTATTGTATGCGGCCTAGGAAATTTAGACACACTTGAAGGTCAGTTATCCAATCGGTTGGGCTAGTTTGGCCTTTAGTGCGGGGTTTAAAATGATAATCACTGGATTACGTCAGCTTGGTGCAATAACGGCGAGTCCAAAAACCGAATAAAATGGGATAATTTAGGCTGAAAAATAATTACGCAGAAAACGCTTCAACTTCATTGAAAAACGTAGTACATGGATGCTGCTTCCTCAACAATATTCACAATATGAAATTTCACAACGGTCAACGCGAATTGTCATCTAACCTCGGCAGCAATTTTGTAGTTCCCTTGCTCGATATTCTGCCGAACGTTTTTCTCCACTTGTTCGAAGTGCCGTTTCTCCTCGTAACCAATCATTCCGACTTCAAAGAGGTAAGAGCCGTAATCAGTCATCGTGATTGGGTCCGACAGTCCGTCTCCGATTCCCATCCCTAATTCAAAGGCAGGAAAGCTATGCTTTCTTATTCTCGATTTGAAAATCAAAGCGATTCAATCACCTTTCAGATTGATTTTCTGGTGGACGTTTTGATCCTGGTTGGCCTGCAAAATTTTCCAGGTAATAGCAGGGACATACTTCCCGGCATACGATTCCCCAGTAACGTAGAAATCTTGATGCGCGAATTCGTTGAAAACGACGAAGAATTGGGTGAGGAATGAATACAAATCTCTGGCGACATCCTCTTCGCTCCTCGCGTAACACGAATCATCAGACGAGTAGCTGAAACCTTGTCAAGAAAATCAGAGAAACAGAAAGGTAAGCTTTTTGTGCATTCTGATTTGAGAGCAATAATTTCAGAACTACGATTAAAAAATTTTCGATCCATCAGCAAAAAGTCAAAGCAATGCTTCATCTTCTGGTGTATCCATGCATGCTTGATGCTTACATATGCACAGTATACTATATACTGTATATATAGTACTGTATACAGTATTATATCTCATTAGAGAAAATAAGGTGCATACTGATACTGTGTATACTGCATATATAAATATATATATATATATATATATATATATATATATATACAGTATATGCAGTACACAGTATGCACCTTACTTCTTCTGATAAATGCCTGGTCTTGAATATAGGCCTGTCTCTAATAAAGGCCAGGTATCAGAAAAGCTTGGAGCAATAATAGCAGCTGGGTCAAAAACAGGGAGGGGATAGAAAGAATTCTGGAAATTCTTTGAATTCCATAAATCCTTCACATCCATGTATTAAGAGCTAAAGAAAAAGCCCTTCCCCATCATTAATTCTTAAAGCATTCCTGTCTCATTTTTCAAGACAAATTTTCGATCACCGGGGTTTTCCCTTTTTCTCTTTCCACTCAGTCTTGAGTCTTGACTAGTGTAAATAAGGGCTAGTCTCTCATAGAAGCCAGTGTACATTGAATGCCAGGAGAAAAATCCAATATTTTAAATAGATAAAGGTAGCTTTAATCAGAGAATATACGATATGTACATACAGTATATATTTAGTAATAGGAAATCTGCAAAATGTAATTCAAGATCAGCACAAATCTTGAGGCTTTGACCAATCTAGCAGAGTAGAAAAAATGGGGTAATGATAACCAAAGAGAAACGTTAGCGGTGTTATAAGAGGTAGAGCAGTAGATGAAAAAGTACTTTTTTGTAACACAAAAATAAGGAGTAAATCTTGATTAAGATCATGCAACGTCCCCAAAACTGAAGAAATACTATTTAATTTATCATAAATTTTCCGGGAAATCAAATTTGCTTACCAGATCCGACGGGATTGTCAATATACAGCATTGAGTTCGCGGTGGACCAATCATAATCTCTTGCTGATATGTTCAGGTCAGCATCAACCACCCAAGGCCCGTGTTCAACGAAAAGACCGAAGAGAGACGAGGCACCGGGTCCTCCTTGAAGCCAAACTGTCACAGGGGCTGACTCTGGACTATTCTAAATGATAGAAAATATTTTCAGGAAAAGGATGGAAAGACTATGAGACACCGCGAGTTCTGCAACCAAGGACTGGAAAGCTCTGACAAGGATTATGAATGCTTAAAAGTTGGTTGCAACTGATGAGCTTGTCCCGACTAAAAATGTTTGTGAACTACGGTATTGCCAATTACAGAACTCCAAAGTACGCTTTCTCAATTTATGACTACAGTAAATGTACTCAGGTTTTGTTACATTATAACCGTAACAAAGCAGAACAATTTTAAACTGATCATTCTAAAACCATGTCATGAGAAAAACTAGGCTAGATCAATCAGTTATTGAGTTATAAATTATCATTTTTATATACGTGCCGGACTTTGAAACATTAGAAATCTAAATGAGCATAAAACTTTTCTGAAGACATTCGGGATAATTATTAATTAATTCCCTCAAGTAAGAGCCTGGAAATATTCCCCATGCACTTGGAAGGTATCGTGATACGATCAGTGTGGAATGCAACGAACCTTTGCCGGAATAAACCAGAAAAACAGGTTTGCGTCGCAAGTCTTGTTAACTGTAATGAACCCACTGTAAGATACTCTCGCAGTCGGAGCTTCTGGCATTCCAGATGCTTTCGCGAAGAACTTCTCCATGCCTGTAACCAACGCAGCTTTCTTCGCTTCTTCTGGTTTGCCAAGTTCGATGAAGTGGCTGAGCATCACCGGCGCACCAGTGAGTCCAACGCTGACCTCTGGAGTCCTTCGTTCCGCATACTCAAAAATTCGGTGAAGTCCATCAGATTTGCCAAGGAAGCCACACACAACAATCACAGCTATCGCTACAAATATCTTGAGATCGACGACGCGGCTTCGCGCCATTATCGCCGTCTTTGATCACAGTATTCTGAAATTCAACTTACACGTCACATCGGATATTAGGATGAAGTGAGAAGTTGTCTTCGTGCCGAGCATGATCTCGAAAGTTTACATTCTCCCATATATCCGCGAACAGACAGATGTTGCCCACCGAAAACCTCACTAAATTTCCACCCATAAAACCACACAGTTCACAGTACAACTTATGGTCTCACAATTCATCAGTGGAATAGGGTCCAGCGCACTCCCACGCTTCAGTTGAGTTCATCGACCATTCTCTCCACCACTCCTGTGACCAAGCAACAGGCTTCAAGTGAAACTGGATCCCTTGTTTACAACGCGGGAAATAAGTACAATACTGTATAGCACTCATATTCGAGTGGCGCCAGCAGCGTATGATTTTCCGGTCTTCCGTCACGACAGCAAAATCTCTCCTGCATTGTGCCGCTTTCGAGGGGATAGGTGATCACATGTCATATCATTCGCGCGGGCGCGAGGAACGTATCCTCTCGGGAACAGTCGACCAGCCGTGACGCACAACGAATCGTAGATCTGTACTATACAGAACTTGTGGCATGATTTTTTTTCGAGGTTTTGAATTGCGTTTCCGGATGATTGTTGTCACCAACACCAGGGAGTCGGAAAGGAAGAGCTGTCGGAGTCGGCATAACAAATGGAAAACGGCGGTATGTTTTCCGCATTTTATGTAATGCAGGAGTTGAGACTCATACATAACAAGAGATGGCGTTGGTAGTTGAAGGCCCGATGGTTCTCAAGTCAGCTGCGCTTGTGGAGTGCCAGTTTGGATTAAAGGCGCTAGTCGACGAAGAACGACACTTGATCTCAAGATTGTTGCTGTGGATAACTAGCGGCTAGAATTACGAATCGTGCGTCAGTTTGCTTCAGTTGGAATGTATGAGCTTTACGAGAGGATCGCCTTTGGTTCATAGTGGTATAGTGGCGCTGTAATGAGATGCACAAATGCTCAGTTATAAATTTAGGTACTGTATTATCTTCCGTTCCGATCTTGCGCGTGAAAGCGTTGAAATACTCCAGGATTCTTCGTTGATTTTGAAGTGAGCGTGTTATGTTGAGAGTAAATGAGGAACCCGTTGTTTTCGTTCAGCTTGTCCCAGTGGGGATTGACCACACGGGCATAGGTGGTGTTGAGCTCCTTCTGAATGTAGCATTTAATCCGATCAAATTTCGAAATCGATGGGGAACATGCGTGGCATGAAACCATTTCCGTTCTTGAGCTTTCAGTGTAATAATGTCTCGTGATCTACCTCGTTCGTCATCAGGGCTGGTCGTTTTGTCGCGCTCGGCCTTCTTGATGCTATGCGAGATGCATTCGAAGTTTTGGTTTCTCACGGACTCCTTCCCCCTGAGGAAATTGCATGCTAAGCTGTGATCTAAGAATCTCGGTTCGAAATGGGTGAAGATAGTGACTTCACTCGCATCAAGGTGAGAAAGCTGAAAGACAACCCCGATGTTCCTGATGATGCAGGAGGTCGATGCCGTTGCTATGCCTCATTGCAGTCGAAACTCGACGCTGCTAGTGTCAAGGTTCAAGGATTTCTCGAATATTACTTCTACAGGTTTGTTGATTTGAATGCGGAATATTTTTTGGTCTTATTTCCAAGCTTCTCTGCAGGATTGGCGTGATCATTGGAGAATACCCGGTTCCAACCATAATTTCTTCGCTTTTATTGGTTCTTGCGTTAAGTTTTGGAATGCTTTTTTTCGACAAACGGGATGACCAAGATGTTTGGCTACCAAAGGAATCAGAACTTCACCAAAAGAAAGAGTGGATTCAAGAAAATTTTCCAGCGAGGGTTTATCAAGAAACAGCTTTAATTGTTGCGGAAAACGTCTTGAAGCCCGATATCCTTGAACTCGTCAGTGTTGTATTCAAAATACTGTATGTCGGGTGGTTTCTGATAATTTTTTTTTTTTCTAGATGGAAGATCTGAATAGCATTGTTGCTGATGTGAAACTCAATGATGTATCATGGGAATCACTTTGCGCAAGGTATAATGACGAGTTCCCTCCCCCCCATTCGCGTTTTAATTCAATTTGGACGTTTAGACCTGGTTCTATGATATCTGTTGGTGCTGAAGCGACGGGGGACGGAAAGGGCCTATCCTCAGAAACTAAAACCATGGACCATGCTGATCGAAAATCGAAGGCATTGAAGATTGATTTTTCATCTTTATTCGGCTTCGAAATCCCTTCTGATGTTCAAGCTATATACGACGACTACCTGGGGCACATGGAAAAAGGTGGGCCATGTCTCACCACAAGTATTCTGCCCGTTTTTCGTGTTGCTCGTGGGCAGCGATTCAATTCAACTTCTGCTACTGAAGCGAACATTTTATCCAAGATAACGAACGAATTGCGCAAAACGTGAGTACTTCTTAAGATGACTATTTTCATTGGAATTCCGGCGAACGCCTTTTATTTCGCAGATCTTCGCTGAGTGAGACCCGTAACGTGAGCTTATTATTGTCCGGTATTGATGTTGGCCCGAAAGGGGAAATTCTCGGTGCTACTGCTGCATTGATGATTTGGTTGGTCAAGGCTCCCCCGGTTAGCCGTCATCCTTTTCACTCTTCTTGTATCTTGCTTTCAATAATCATGTTCAGGTTTTTTTTTTCGGGAAGTGTGCGGTACAATACATATCCTACTATAGTGATGCCTTCTCGTTTAGCAAACTCTGCGTGGAAACCTTGTGTCCTAACACGTGTAGTATTGGTGCCTCTTGCTTCAACCTCGCTCTGTTAGTTTCTACGAATAGACTGCGTAAAGGAGTTATGCAGCTATGCATGTTTTACCCCGAGACTTCCGATCTTTGATGGTACCCAGTTGGGGTTATTTTTGTAAATTTCGGCGGCCGCTTCAGTGTCTCGCACATCTGCCTGCTCGATGTAGTCGTATCGTCTACCAAGAAACTCAGTACAGTATCTTCATGTTACATTTTTTGATATATTACTAAAGCTTAGTTTTTCTTGAGATATTGAGTCAAATGCGATAAATTTCATGAAAGGACTGAAGACGAAAATCTAACAAATGCTTCGCTTTTTCACTCATTCCGGAGCATTGTGGGAATGAATGAAATTCGTCATAAGGCGACTTGTAGACCACTGTTGCTGACAGGGATCTGATGAACGATCTCGTTAACCAGTAATTCATAACGAGATTTTACGGTGAAGTATTTTAAGATGTATTATGTGATTCTTGATGATCGTCAGCTCAGCTTGAAGTTTTTATGCCGCACAGGAACTTTTTGGATGCTTCATGCTATATCTACAGGAAAACAGATCTTGTTTTATTTTCTCTATTACAGTACATGTAGAAAATACAGTACTTCTAATTCGTCCGACCTATTCTGCAGTGCATAAGTTCCTCGCCCCTCGTTCAAATATTGTATGATACTAATTCGAAAGAAGCAGCTATCGAAGGAAGTCATGGTCCCGAGTAAATTTCCTGGGAATCCACAATCTGGAGTGCTCAGATACAATCGAAAATTTTTGAATTCGCGTGTTGAAACGGGATTATTTCAAGGACACCAACATCAGAGCCACGTATCTGCGGAAAACTATTGCACAGAACTCTTGAACTATATTTTAAATTATTTATACTGTACTGTATAACTGTTGGTGTTACTATACATCAAGAATTATTTGGGATTGAGTATTGAAGCGGCTCCGAATTCGCGCATGGTTGCGTTCAAATGCTTGTCCAGGTATCATTTTTTCAGAAACTCATATTTAGAAAAGTTGCGAAACCGTTTTGGTAGACTATCTGACACGTTTACCCCTTTTCGTGAATGCGCTGAGTTTGAGTATCCTCTAGGTGGAAAGATTCATCTTCAAATTTTCAAGAAATTTTTTCTACCAGGCGTTTTCTGAAAGTTAACGACTTGCACGAAGTTTCAATTTATAATAGTTTCAATCCCTCTTTGGAAAATTAATTCATCTCTTTTCCTCAGGGAGTGGAAAACTCTCCCGAGAATCGTGTCATCCGGCTTTGGGAGAGAGAACTTGTGAACAAAATCTTGAGTTTTGGCAGAGCCAAGACACAGGTGAAGATATTTGTGTTCACCCATTTCAGGTTAGTTCGAATATCACCTTTTTTCTGGTGTCGTAACGTTTTATGAGATTTGTTTTTCAGTTTCATCGACGCAATGATGCAAATGCTAGATGAAAATATGCCAGTACTTTTTGTTGGATTTTTCCTCATCTTGGTCTACGTGACGATAACCTTGGGGAAGTTCAATCGTCTAGAACATAGGGTGTGTTATTGAATTTTATTTGCACTTTTTAAAAGAGTTATGATCAATTTCTTTTCTTCAGATTTACGTGTCTCTAATAGGCATTGGAAATGTTGGACTGAGTATTTTGGCTTCGTATGGTCTTTGCTCGTATGCGGGTCTGTTTTTTGGACCAATCCATCCGATTTTGCCGTTCTTGCTTCTGGGGATAGGAGTTGATGATATGTTCGTGATCGTCCAGGTTTGCATTTTCTAGCTGCATTAATTTTAATTTTTTATTCACGAGTTTTAATTTTTTAATAGGCGATGAAAACTGTGAAAGGGTCAGATAAAGGTATCCCTGTTCCTGAAAAAATGGGATTAACCCTTAAAAGTGCCGGAGTTTCCATCACGATTACTTCTGCTACCGACGTACTGGCGTTTTCCATTGGAGCTACAACTGTAAGTGAAGCACGTCAACCTCATTAAAAATGTCTTGATCTACTCTCTCCTGCTTCGGAATGGTTTCCAGGTGATGCCGTCCTTGAGCTCCTTCTGTCTCTTTGCTGCAGCAGGAATCTTCATCGTGTTCCTCCTTCAACTCACATTATTTGTTCCATGCTTGGCCTTGGATGAGCAGAGACTCGCAGCCAGAGGAAGTGCGTGTGTTCCTTGTCGAACAGTGGAGAATGGTTACAAGCCGAGCCAATGTTCACAGAAACCAATTTTAGTTCTTTTCTTCAAAAATATTTTCGCACCACTGATTTTCCGGACTCCTGTGAAGGTACAGTACCAGTTTATTTTCCGGATTTTTGTCACGGCGCTCTTTGGATGTGTTTCTTTGATAGGTTGCATCAATCGTCCTTGCGCTGGTTTTAGTGTGCGTCAATGGATATGGAGTTTACAACATGCAGCACAATTTCGACCCTAGGAAGTACATTGCGCTAGATTCCTATCAGGATCACTACTTGAAAGCTGTTCATCAGTACTTCCCACGAGACGGAGAGCCCGGGTCATTTTACATTGGTACGTGACTGCTCGCAGTGAACTGAAAGAATTCGATTTTGGTTCCATCAGTTTTCTGGTTTTAAATTGTCCGACTTTATTTGAAGCAGCCGATTTTTTATAGGTATAAACTGATTTTCCTTTTTGTTTCCGCAGGAAATATTGAATATTGGCAAGAAACAGAAAATCTTGAACGTTTGTATCGCTACGTGATGGGCAATAAATACATCCGCCAGGAGAAAGTCGACTTCTGGCATCACAGCTTTCTGGTGTGGATGAGGAAGCAAAAATTGATGGGTAGGTTTGCCGTTATTCGCGTTCTGGGCATTTTTTGATTTCGTTTTTTGAATATTTTCTTCAGCTCCCAAGTTTGAAGATGAGTTTGAATTTCAAGAGCTGCTTCGAGAATTTCTTTTGTCGACACCTGACGGGTTGGAATATATTCAAGATATTTTGTTGAATGGGACTCTTCTGGGAGAATTCAGAATCATTGTGAGTGTCTGATGCCTCTCTTGATCCCATCCGAAAGTATTTTATTTAGTTATTTTTAATGGAGCGACATGATTGAGCAATTCTTGGAAATATTACAGGCTAGTCGATTGAAATTCAAGCATGTTCGAATGACCAGAAGCGAAGAAAAGGAAGCTGCAATGGAAGCGGTGTTTTGTATTGAAAAGGCTGTGAATTTTACTACCGCACCTGCTGATGATATCCCATTACTTGGATATGCTCCTGTTTATACCCCGTGGCAAGCCAATGTCGTGAGTGTTCCGTTTTTTCTTGAAATACAGATGTATCCAGAGCAAGAACGTAGTTTATAACAAACCGGTGTCATGGGTTAAATTACTTCAATGATCCGGTTCTCGGGGGGAAAAAGTCAAAGGCAAGAGAAAGTGACTCAAATAAAAGGGCGTTCGGAAATTTTACTGAATCTCGCCGCCATATTTTATTGTTTTGCTTTGAGGGAAAGATCCTGTTTCAATTTTAAAATGAGAAATTACGAATAAAAGTCTTCGCTGTTCCAGTGCAACTGATGTATACTTGACGATGGAGAAATTATTTTTGTATCCCACTGGAAAGATAGGTTTTTGTAGAACTTCTTCAAATTTAGGAGATTTATTGTTGCGTGGAAGTGGTTATGATTTGATCGATGAAATGGCTCTTCATTTCTTTTCAATATTTTCAGATCATTAGCGGCGAGTTGGTGCGGAATTTAGGACTGACAATGGCGTCTGTCTTTGTCATCACGCTGGTCCTGATCGGTGACATCCGAGTCAGCGTTTGGGTGTTCATCTGCGTCGCATTCATTCTTACTGATATCGGTGGATCGATGCATTTCTGGGGACTCACCATTGAAATTGTCACTTCGATTAGCTTGATTCTGGCTGTAGGATTAGCTGTGGATTATTCTGCTCATGTTGGGCACATGTACGTTGCGCTCAAGGGGCAAAGAGAAGGTTTGTTCATGATTACATTTTTTATTTCTCCGGTTCATTATATCGTTACTCATTTACGTTTCCTGAAGAGCGGGCAAAAGAAACATTGGTGAGAATCGGTCCGGCCGTCTTCAATGGAGCGTTCAGCACTTTCCTTGCATTCGTGTTATTGGCGAATACCGACTCTTACGTCTTTTCTGCATTTTTCAAGGTTTGATCGCAAGTCACGATGTACGAAAACTTTTTTCTGCAAGAAGCACTTTTTCTAAATTTTTTAGGCGTTTTTCTGCGTGGTCGTCTACGGAGTTTTCCACGGTCTGGTTTTCCTCCCAGTGGTATTGTCACTGGTGGGACCTTCGATGTCCTTGAAAAAATCTTCTTCGGAAGATGACGAAGACGGAAACAAAACGTGTGAGGTTTCCAAAGAGTTGCTTGAGAACTGCGACGGGAGTGCGAGTCATGAGGGCAGTGCAGAACCATTACCGTGTTGTAACGTGAGCAGAGGTAGGAGTAGCTTGGAAGATGGGGGTGGCGGTGGTGGGTCTTCTACGGGTGACAGAGGAGACGGAGGCAGCTCCAATCTGGAATTCGTTTTCTACGAATCACATGTGTAAAAATAATATCGTCTGGGTCTCGTTGATCTTGCGCTCGAATGTTGAGATTTGTTGTGTACCTGGAGAAGCAGGAGGCGAATGCGTCATAGTAAGTTAAACTTCGTTTATTTATTGTATTTTTTTCTTCGAACATCTAATATCTCTGTATGTTCGAGAATATTGATGGGCATCAGTTCTGGCAATAGTATTTGTGATGCATTGGAAAGGTTAATAGCTTTTGTTCGTGTTACAGCTTCTTTTCGTCAAGAATTCAATCCGTCGTGTGAAGTGATGTTTAGCAGCTCATGCAGTCGTAATCTTCCACGATATTCGCGAGTTCAGGATTTTGAAGATTGGTTTTGAATACTGATGATGGGGAAACTCTCTTCTGTCCGAGAAGGAAAAAAAGGTTCAAGCAGCTGCGTAGATTAAGGTTGCTGTTCGTCAGAATCGCTCGAATTTATTCTGCCGTTTAAATTTGAAAAACCTGAGCGATGAGGTAGGGTATGCGATTAATTTTCAGTATTATACCGTTCATGCTATCCCGTAAAGTTGTGAGAGCACATAGCAAATGAAGGCGGTTTCTTTTATTGCTGATTTAAATTTTTTTGCGAAGTAAGTTTATAGAACTGTTGCCGAATTGTGTAGTTTGATGTCAAGGATGTGTACCCATCGATGTCTTCGCGAAAGTTTTGGTGCTTATGTCATGAGTTGAGGTTGTTACGCCCTGTGATTTTGGTCCCTTCCCGTTAAAGTTTGCCAAAGCGGTGTTTTGAATACCCGAGGATTTGAATCTTGTTTTGATTTGAATTAGGCATTCCATAAGAAAATGTCTGGCATGTTGACCCAAAGTCCTACACGCAGATCTCGCAGGTAATGAGGATCATGTATGCGTTAAATGCAGTACGCTGGTCTTGGCGGTTAGTGGGTAAGATCATCATTCGAGCCAGAACTGAAAATTTCGTCTTTAGTGTGAGATTCGCAATACATGTCCGGTCCTAAGAAAAATTCGAACGGGTGCAGTATTAATGCAAAGAGATTTCTGCTTTATATTACGGGGCGTGTTTTATTTCGTGTTCTTGAAACATGACTCGTGTGATTGCATTTTGTATCATGTTTGCTTTTGTTGCAGATCATCGAGTGCATATGTGAATTCGTGTGGGTCTTATATTTTATACCAGATTTTTTTCAATTTCCACGGCGGCTTTCTCTAAAAATCGGTTTTCTTTCTGTTACGTAGAATTTTAATTTTAGCAGTCAAAATCAACCCTCGTAAGATCCCCTTTGGTCAGCTTTCTTTTGTCTGGTGAGGATGATTTTCATGCGTTTATATCGCATAAGTTTGTGATCTATGGTTTTGATGCATCAGGTACGATGGCATTGCCGAAAGTACGAGATGAAGAAAGGGAATCGAAGTACGGGTATGTTTTCGCAGTATCTGGACCTGGTGAGTTAGGATGTCAATATATGGTTCTTTCGTATCTTTTGCACGTGTAAATCGTTCTGGGAAAGGAATAGTGAATTTTCACATAGAAATTATAGTATTTTTAGTTGTCAAAAGCTTGAAGAGATTAATGAGTATAAGCAGTGTTTTATTTATCTTTATTGCTAGGTGAGCCTCTAAGCGTGATTTGATTTCAATTGACAGAATATTGAACCGAACGCCTTTCAACTTCTCATCACCTCTGGTCTTTCGTGGATGAATGTTTTTCGGTATCGCTTTTAGACACGAATCATTGTCCTTCGAGCGTTAACTAGAGGTTTTCAAGACGGGTATTCTAATTTTTATGACTGATTTTGCTGCACAACATCGTGAAAATGTGAGCTTTCTTCCTTATTAACAGTGGTTACTGCCGAGCGTATGTCTGGCTCCGCGATGTACGAATTGGTCCGTGTGGGCCATCAAGAACTTGTTGGAGAAATTATTCGGCTCGAAGGAGACATGGCTACAATTCAAGTTTACGAAGATACTTCTGGGGTAACTGTCGGAGATCCAGTGTTGAGAACCGGTAGTCCGTTATCAGTAGAACTCGGGCCAGGAATAATGGGAAGCATTTTCGATGGCATCCAGCGTCCTTTGAAAGACATTTGTGAAATTGTCGACAGCATTTACATTCCAAAAGGAATCAACGTTCCCGCTTTATCGAGAAACAATCGCTGGGATTTCCAACCATCAAAAATAAGGGTACAGTGATGATTTTCACGTCCAATTTCCTTTTTAATCTCTGAGGAGTCATAAACGTTGTCAGAATCAAAGAAACTCGTGGATTTCTTAGTTGATCAATTTATTTTCATTTTCAGGAAGGGGCGCATGTGACGGGAGGCGATGTGTTTGGCTTTGTTCCCGAGAATACGCTGATCAAGCACAAGTTAATGTTATCGCCGAGGGCAAAAGGAACCGTAACTTACCTTGCGCCCCCCGGTACCTACTCCGTTGCTGATGTGCTGATGGAGACAGAGTTTCAAGGAGAGAAAAGCAAACACACAATGCTTCAAGTTTGGCCCGTACGTCAACCCCGTCCAGTTGCGGAAAAAATACCTGCGAATCACCCGCTACTCACTGGACAAAGAGTAATCGATGCGCTCTTCCCGTAAGTCTTGAATCTTTTTTTTTTTTTTTTTCATGTTGAGATAATAATGAAGATGATTTTCTATTCCATTTTTGCAGTTCCGTTCAAGGAGGAACTACCGCCATTCCTGGTGCTTTTGGCTGTGGGAAGACCGTCATTTCGCAGTCGCTTTCGAAGTATTCCAACTCAGATGTCATCATTTATGTCGGCTGCGGAGAACGTGGCAATGAAATGGCAGAAGTATTGCGAGACTTCCCAGAACTGTCTGTGGAAATTGACGGCAACGTTGAATCCATCATGAAACGAACTGCTCTGGTAGCGAATACGTCAAATATGCCGGTCGCCGCTCGTGAGGCGTCCATCTACACTGGAATTACCTTGTCCGAATACTTCAGAGACATGGGTTACCACGTGTCTATGATGGCCGATTCAACATCTCGTTGGGCTGAGGCTTTGCGAGAAATTTCCGGTCGATTGGCAGAAATGCCCGCTGACTCCGGTTATCCAGCTTATCTTGGAGCTCGTTTGGCAAGTTTTTACGAACGAGCTGGAAGAGTAAAGTGCTTGGGCAATCCGGAAAGAGAGGGTTCTGTTTCGATCGTCGGTGCGGTATCTCCTCCTGGCGGTGACTTCTCCGATCCAGTCACCTCGGCTACATTGGGAATTGTGCAGGTGTTCTGGGGTCTGGACAAGAAACTGGCTCAGAGAAAGCATTTTCCTTCACTGAACTGGCTGATCTCTTACAGGTTCGATGTAAATGAGACATTATGTAACATTTTGAGGGGATGTGAATATTTTTAGCTCTTTTCTTTATAGAAGCCTCCGTTTTTTTGCGACTATAACAATTACTATATTTGATTTTTCAGCAAATACACGAGAGCATTGGACGACTATTATGAGAAAAACTTCCCGGACTTCGTCCCGTATCGTACTAAAGTTAAGTCGATTCTCCAAGAAGAAGAAGATCTGGCTGAAATCGTTCAACTTGTGGGCAAAGCTTCACTTGCTGAGGGTGACAAAGTTACTCTCGAGGTTGCGAAGTTAATCAAGGATGACTTCTTGCAACAGAACGGGTAAGGAAAAAAGAGGATTTTCCCCTGTGTTATGCTTTTGACTTTCAAGTCCGATTTAATGGAATTGTTTAATTTGATGTTGTTTCAGATATTCAGCATATGATCGGTTCTGTCCGTTTTACAAAACCGTCGGAATGATCCGGAACATTGTGGCATTTTATGATCTCGCAAAACACACAGTTGAGTCGACCGCTCAAACAGAGAACAAAATTACATGGAACGTCATTCGAGAGAGCATGGGCAACATAATATATCAGCTGTCCTCCATGAAATTCAAGGATCCCGTGAAGGACGGTGAAGCGAAGATCAAGGCTGATTATGACGAGCTTCATGAGCAAATGCAGCAGTCGTTCAGAAACTTGGAGGACTTGTAGTGTTCTCCTCTCAGATTGATATTCAATGAGTGCAATATTTGTCGTCTGTACAAGCTGGTACATTCAGCATGTCATTTCTTATGCTTAGCTCGAGACATAACCGGACCTTGTGTTCATCTCTGTTGTCTCAAGGTTTAATGGGATATGATTCCTTTAAATGCAGTGTGTTCATTGGTCCGAAAATGGTTCGCATTTTATTGAGTAAATATTCGACAAGATCTTCAGAAAACGTAGCCGAGTTTTTGATGCTATGTTTGATTACAATCGGATCTTTTTACGCGTTGGTGAGCATTTTATGCGTCTGCTACTGGAAACAAATTCAGTGATGAGGAACTGCATTCATACGTTGTGATTTATGAAATAAACGGAAGATCTCATGACGTGTATCCATGGTAAGGCGTGTGTTCCCCGAATCGATTCCGACCCCACCATTGTCTGAAAAAGAAAATAATTTTTTATCTTTTCAGAGTAAAAAAGAAAGAACGAAAACGTACGCACAACCGCGATTTCCAAAGAAAAGTGTGAACTATGGCTTTGCCAAGAATTCGAGATGAAGAACAGGAGTCGAGGTATGGATACGTGTTCGCGGTTTCTGGACCCGGTAAGAAATGAATTTTCATCTTTATTTCTAGATAGTATTTTTCCTGGATGGGCGTTTCTGTCTCTTGAGATGGTAGCATTTTAGTAAATTATATTATAAAATGAATTCAATAGTCCATAATCTGATATACAGTATCGAAGTATATAAGTAAGCTAACAAATTTGATGTTTTTCTCAAAATTTCGGTCAAGACTTCTGACATCGATGAACATCAGGCCTGGAAAAAAAGCGAACTACAGTACTTTTTTTTCGGTAACTGAGGTGTTTCTTCATTCTGTTTTTCGTGTGCCACATCGACTGGCAGTCCAATTAACCTTTGGTATAATATATTGGAAACTCTGAAGAAAACGAATGCCAATAATTTGTTATTCGTATATTTCCCATCAGTTGTTACCGCCGAACGAATGTCAGGGTCCGCTATGTACGAGTTGGTCCGTGTGGGCCATCAAGAACTCGTTGGAGAAATTATTCGGCTCGAAGGAGACATGGCTACAATTCAAGTTTACGAAGATACCTCAGGGGTAACAGTTGGTGATCCGGTATTGAGGACAGGTAGTCCGTTATCAGTAGAACTCGGACCAGGAATAATGGGGAGCATTTTCGATGGTATCCAGCGTCCTTTAAAAGATATTTGCGAAGCCATTCAAAGCATTTACATTCCGAAAGGAATCAACGTTCCGGCCTTATCAAGAGAGCATCGTTGGGACTTCCAGCCAGCAAAAATCAAGGTGTCGTTGCGTTTCCAATGTTGTATTTTCGGTTTACTTCAGCCGTTCTTTTATATTCGTAGAATAAAATTTGAACCAAGAGGCTATTTTTATTGGAGCTCACCTTCAAATCACAGTAGAAGTAAACTACCTTAGTATGAAGTACAGTAATGTCCTGTGCAAAATTTTTGATTTTCAGTTGAAATGGAAGAATGCGTTTAGCTATTGATTTTCAACACCGTGAAAACCGACAAGTAAAATTCGGCAACCCTATCGCAGCTTATTTTGTATTCGCTCGACTCATTTGTGAATTATCGAATCCATAAGATTTACTGCAACGCATTGTTCCTACTGAATGGTTACGACACATTTCCTGCAGTTCAGAAAGGCTCGAAGGAATGATTTAAACTGTATTCCAACAACCCTGGGAATATTTTTCGCTCAAGTTCGGGCACAAGTTTTGTAGTTCAATCAATCCAGAATGTTTTTTAAATCAAAGGACTCTTTTTCCTATAAACACAGGAAGGGGCTCATGTCACTGGAGGAGATATTTTTGGTCAAGTGCCAGAGAATACCTTGATCAAGCACAAACTGATGCTTCCTCCTCGAGCTAAGGGAACTGTGACGTACATTGCTCCACCTGGCAGCTATAGCGTTTCTGACGTTCTGTTGGAAACAGAATTCAGCGGAGAAAGGAACAAGTACACCATGCTTCAGATTTGGCCGGTTCGACAGCCGCGACCAGTGGCTGAGAAAATCCCTGCCAATCATCCGCTTTTAACTGGACAGCGCGTCATCGATGCTCTCTTTCCGTGAGTTAATTTGAAGTGTGTTTCGACATGTGACTGGATTGGCTGTACGCAAACTTGAAAAAACATCATGATTATTATACTGTACTGAAATTCATTACTGTATAACCTTGCTACCGCTTCGTCAAAAGTGTTTTTCTCAATTATCGTAATCTTACTTCAACAGTTGCGTTCAAGGAGGAACTACCGCCATTCCTGGTGCTTTTGGTTGTGGAAAGACCGTCATTTCGCAATCACTGTCTAAGTATTCCAACTCAGACGTCATCGTTTATGTCGGCTGCGGAGAGCGTGGCAATGAAATGGCAGAAGTGTTGCGGGACTTCCCAGAACTGTCTGTTGAAATTGACGGTCACGTGGAATCCATCATGAAACGAACTGCCCTGGTGGCGAATACGTCAAATATGCCTGTGGCCGCTCGTGAGGCGTCCATCTACACTGGAATTACCTTGTCAGAATACTTCAGAGATATGGGTTACAACGTGTCTATGATGGCCGATTCAACATCACGTTGGGCTGAGGCTTTGCGAGAAATTTCCGGTCGATTGGCAGAAATGCCTGCTGACTCTGGTTATCCAGCTTATCTCGGTGCTCGTTTGGCAAGTTTTTACGAACGAGCTGGTAAAGTGAAGTGCTTGGGCAATCCGGAAAGAGAGGGTTCTGTTTCGATCGTCGGTGCGGTATCTCCTCCTGGCGGTGACTTCTCCGATCCCGTCACATCAGCTACTTTGGGAATTGTGCAGGTGTTTTGGGGTCTGGACAAGAAACTGGCTCAGAGGAAGCATTTTCCTTCACTGAACTGGCTGATATCTTACAGGTTCTATAAGTCATACATCACTTAAACCTATTTTTTCTTCGAAATGTAATTATTTCTGCGAAGGATCACATAAATAAAAGCTATCAGAATAACCTGTCGACTGAAATAATGAATTTTTAGACGGTATGGAATTATTCGGAAAGGTCGGATTAAAAAAAAATTTCCAGTAATGCAGCGGGAAGGAGGGAAACCTGAGGTTTTGATTACATCTTTCTGACTTTTCCCCTCTCTGCTTAAGTTCTTATCTAATTAATTTGGTATCTAAAATTTTCAAATAAGTAATGAATAACCCAGCAGAATAATTTGGATGTGGAAATATGCTGTATTTTAGTGTAGGCCCAGTAAAAAACTGCATTGTGAAACAAAAATCATTCGAGTTTCAAGAGGCAAACCTTGCCAACTTTCATTATTGCTCCCTGTCGGAAGAAACGAGTGACGAAAAGTAAAGTACAGAACAATATATTTTGACTAACTCTGTAATGATGTCGAACTAGCTTAACCTCATCGTAGTCAAAGCTGATTTGTATGAGATCCTATGAGGAAATTGATACCATATGTATGTGTTTTCAGTTTTCCGTTTAAGAAAACCATTATGTAAACTTAATGACCCCCATACGTCTGGACTTGATTTTCAGCAAATACACGAGAGCATTGGACGACTATTATGAGAAAAACTTCCCGGACTTCGTCCCGTATCGTACTAAAGTCAAGTCGATTCTCCAAGAAGAGGAAGATCTGGCTGAAATCGTTCAACTTGTTGGCAAAGCTTCACTTGCTGAGGGTGACAAAGTTACTCTCGAGGTTGCGAAGTTAATCAAGGATGACTTCTTGCAACAGAACGGGTGAGGAAAAAAGAGGGTTTTGCCCTGTGTTATGCTTTTGACTTTCAAGTCCGTATTAATTGTATTGTTTATTTTAATGTTGTTTCAGATATTCAGCATATGATCGGTTCTGTCCATTTTACAAAACTGTCGGAATGATCCGGAACATTGTGGCATTTTATGATCTCGCAAAACACACCGTTGAGTCGACTGCTCAAACAGAGAACAAAATCACGTGGAACGTAATTCGAGAGAGCATGGGCAACATAATTTATCAGCTGTCCTCCATGAAATTTAAAGATCCCTTGAAGGACGGGGAAGCGAAGATCAAGGCTGATTATGACGAGCTTCATGAGCAAATGCAGCAGGCGTTCAGAAACTTGGAGGACATGTAAATCCGGACGGACTGTCGACCGGAATTTCGAAGTGCAATGTGGAAGTGGTATGAAGCGTGCGTTGGTACTGTTCTTCCTGTCTACATAATATGTTCTGCGTCAAGAGCTATAGTCCGGCCTTGAGATATCTAAGAGGCTAACGTATCACTGGAGTATCTTGAGCAGGAAGAATAATTCTTAATCCTCTGTATTCATTCAGCGAAATATTTTCCTTCATTACCGTATGTGTGGACTAGAGTGCGACCTTGTGATCGTTCAAGTTGGGAAGGTTTTAGGATTTATGTTGAAAATCAATTCAGAATTGTATTTAATGGCATTCCTGTTCCGGATTAAATTGAATCGCCTTGCGTTGTCTAAGGCAGTTTAATTTTTTTGCTTTGTCGTTATTGGTGTTGGATTGCAAATTGAAGCGAATAAATGCATTCCGCTTGTTATCTGAACTTCCAGTCGTAACTTGCGTGTATGGAATTTTTCATTCTTGTTCTGCAGAAATTACCCTGTGGTTGACTGAGACAAGCTGATTGAAATATTCTTTTTGTAATGCTGTAATGCCCCGGAAATTTCCTGAAAAATACGATGAAATTGCCATGTGTGCAGGCAGATTGAATGTGTAGCCGATAGACTCCCTTGATCAATAGGTGTGAATAAGAAATACTGTACGCAATGATGGAAGGTGCATGATTCATCCAATCTAAAGCACACTAATTTAAGTACACTAGTTCATAATATTAAATGTACGTGACATGTGTGCAACAATAGAATTCTATCGTGCTGTGAATTTCAACCTATTAAATTCTTTGTTGATGAATCACTTTTGATATTGTGTCCGTTACACTTACTTGGCAATTACAGTACAGGCGGTACCAGGAAATTCGACCCCCTGTAATTCAATGGTCAAATTTGCATGGAGGTTGACTTGCAATTTGACCTCTGACCCATAATTCAATGAGCTTTAGCCATTTTTTCACAATTTTGTACTCATATTTCTTAATTTATTGAAGTGTCTTGCAATTTGACTGCTTTGCAATTCCACCCTAGTCCAGCAATGGATTAGTGTTGAATTGCAAGGTACCACCTGTACAGTAAAACAATTCTATTCCAGGAAAACTTAATTCAAAATAATTTACATTAGTATGGAACAATCAAAAGACCAAATTTGTTTATACACTGAAATGTTCAACATCATCTCAGTTTTCTCAAGAAATCCAAATGTGGTGTCTCAAAATAGGCTCTCAATTCTGATGGTGACTTTGTGTTGGGTAACACTGAGTGGTTTTTTATAGTATAATGGATCTTGTTGTCAGTGTCCATATGGTGGGTCTTTTTTTTTTAAAGAATAAATGTCCTTAAGTGGAATTGTCTGCATGTGTGGGTCTCTCTGTACTTCAGAAGCAACTGCAAGAGCATTATATGTTCTAGGATTAAGGGTGCCTAGAAAATATGAGCATAGGCAGGTGGTACCTTGCAATTGGACCTCCCACAATTTGGCCTTCCTGCAATTCAATAGTCAAATTTGCATGTAGGTTATTGACTTACAATTTGACCCTTTGCCCTGCAATTCCACCTGCTTTGGCTACTTTTGTTTTGCTTTTGTGCTGATATTTTGGAATTTTAGGAAGTGTCTTGCAATCTGACCACTTCACCATTCAACCCTATTTCCACAATTGATTAGGTAGGTCAAATCGCAAGGTACCATCTGTATATTCTATTGTTTTGAAAGGCCTCTGTTGATACCCTATACCTCAAATAATACCAAAAGCGAAATAAAATATTCTCACTGCAGCATGTACCTAGAATTTTGAGATTCATATTGTAATATGTGTATGAACTTGGGATATACAGTATTGGTACAGCACCTCAAATTTGAGCTACAAATCTTCGGTGGACGGACTTCTCGCCGGAGCTCACATGTGAGCTGCTGAATTTATGCTGCTCCCCCTTCCCCCTGCCTCACTCCCTGAACCCATCACTCTCTCTATGAAGAAAAATCATGAGAGACTTCAGAAGGCCTGTTTGAGTAGGTATAACAGTGTAATAGAAGTACTATAGGAGTGAGGCAGGGGGAAGGGGGAGCAGCGTAAATTCGGCAGCTCACATGTGAGCTCCGGCGAGAAGTCCACTCACGAAATCTTCGGACTGTAATGAAGGACACTTACGGTAGGCTCTAAGTGTAGTTTTTAAGTTGTCTGCTTTGTCCATAAACAACCACCGCGTCAACATGGCGACGCCGTACTACGTTCAATCTGAAGAATCAGTCGGAGAGAAACCTCCGGACACCTCGCCAGAATTTTACACGGCGCCACGGGGGGTGCGAATGGAGAGTGCACGTGGTGCACGCTAGGGTAGCGTATGTTTCCTCAAAAGTCAGCAGTGCAAAGTTATTGTAAATCCGTGGTCTAGGAAAGTTTTTTGTTCATAGAATAGTTTTTTACAAAATTTTATATCATGGAACGGGCGATGTGCATTCGCAGTGAGTGAAGGGTACTTCGAAGGTGTGCGCGTGCTAAGATCGTTGATGGGTGATTGAGTGCAAATCAGTGGCCTATCTGTCGATCGTTGAAGGTAATCTCATATTTTACTGTTCCTTCGCGGTTTTTCAGGTTATCTGAGGGATAGCGACCCCATCGCCTGGTGACTATGGGTGTGAGTATATATTTCAGAACATATCAGTGTACATGTCTTAACGATTGTATATTTGTTCTCAGTCAACAAACAAGAAGAAGACCAGAAAGATGAGAGGCCATGTCAGCCACGGCCATGGTCGCATTGGTAAGAAAACTTCGCCTAAATGTGTGTAAGCGAGACTGATAACAGTGCTTACTCACTTTTATTCTCAGGAAAACATCGCAAACATCCTGGCGGTCGGGGTAACGCTGGTGGACAACATCATCACAGAATAAATTTTGATAAATATCACCCGGGTTACTTTGGCAAGGTAAGTTGCTGAACCACCATGGTTTGCATTTCGGAAATGTAAATGAATATGAAATAGATCGGCATGCGTAACTTCCACGTGAAAGCGTCGCTGGATTGGTGCCCGATCATAAATCTGGATAAAGTCTGGTCTCTAGTGTCAGAGCAAACTCGCGAGAAGTACAAGAACCATCCAGATGGCAAGGCACCTGTCATTGATGTGGTGAAAGCTGTGAGTTTCTTGAAACTCTTCTCTGAAACTTTGTTTGAGGTTTTTTTCTTTTCGTAGGGGTACTCGAAGGTACTTGGGAAGGGTCTCTTGCCGAAGCAACCCGTTATTGTGAAGGCCAAGTTTTTTTCGCGTAGAGCAGAGGAAAAAATTAAGGAAGTTGGGGGATGTTGTGTTCTCACGGCATGATTTGACATTTTTGGTTGATGTCAGCTGAATTTGGTTGGATTACACACATTCACGAGCAGGAATCATTGTATCCTTTTCTGCGATGCATTCGTTTACAGTTCTTTTTTTTTAATCTCTAAAAGCTTTTCCATTTTCAGAGCTATTGAAGCAATATTGCCGAAGTATTTGAAGGAACACTTAATTATTTCTACGAGTTTCGTTAAAAAAATGGATAAATTCAAGATACAGTGGACACCGCATGCCGCTGAAACTGTGGCATCGATCGGTCGGTTACGAGAGGACCAAGCCTTGGTGGATTCGATCGTGCTGTGTGGTGCGGAAGTTTTTCAAGTGCACAAGTTGATACTGTCTGTGAACAGCGAGTATTTCGAGCAACTTTTTCGAAGACTGCCCGTCGTTGGAAACAACACTCCCGTGATTGCCATGCATCAAACGCATCCAGTTCTTTTTCAGTTGATCCTTGACTACATTTACACTGGATCTGTCGAGGTAATTTTTTCGAAAACTTCTCGGGTAATCAGAAGTAAAACATCGTACGTAATTTACTATGTAATCTAATCTATTGCAATTTTAATGTACTTGCGTGTTTAATTATGAGTATTTGCGTGCTTTCCTGCCGTTTTCATAATTATTAGTATCGGTCTCCGTTCAACGGGACGGTTCAATGGAGTACATTTGCATTCTGTAAATTTCTATAGGTACCGTTCGAGTTTATGGATTCTTTCCTTGAACTTGGCGAAAGTCTGCTAATCCGTGGACTGCGCGCGTTTGAGCACGCAGCATTTGATGAGGTGTATCAGAGTGAAACGCAAGTACCTGAGCAAAGTCTTCAAACAAGTACAATTCCCCTTGAAGAAGTTCCATCCGAAGAACCCCGTGTCGAACAGGTTCAACCAACTGCGACGATTACTCTTCGGAATCCCAAGAAGCGAACGTCTGCGGTCATTAAGAAAAGACGGAAACGTTCCAAAGTTTGTGCTCTGTTTATATACATTGATTTTATTTTTAAATTATAGCCCTTTTCCTAAATCTCTATCCAGCTCGCTGCGATGGTGCAGGTTTCGGAGAACAAAAGGATGCTTCGTAGTGCTGTTAAAGAAGAGAACAAGCGCAGCAGACTCGAGGTAAGTACAGCATTCATTTTTAGAAAAAAATTTTTTTTCTTCCGACGTTCATTTTTCAAGTTGCGGCGCTTACGTGAGAATCCTCATCAGATTTATTTTGTTTATTTTTCAGGCGGAAATTTTCACCGGTGGTGACGAGAATGCGAACGAGCTGGATCAAAATAACGACGAGTATGTCTGCAACGGGGAAGAGAAAAATGAAAATTATGTACCACAGAAGTTGATCTTACGGGCTCCAAGTATTCCGGAAATACCCAGCATGGTCGATTTGGTACGGTTCTTATCTGTCGAGTTGAAGAATTTAGTGATTATCCTTCGAGTACATTTTCAGTTTTTGGAACGTAGCATTCGAGCGAATTCAAAAATCCCCTTTCAAACCGAGACAAGATTTCAATTTGAATGATAAACGCAGGCGTGTCAGCGTTTGAAATAGTGTGGTGATCTGTCGTACAGCATTCTTGAAAGTATAATAACCTATTCATGGGCCTTGCTAAGCTGTTCTGGAAATTATCGGTCGTTCGTTTCGCTTATTGTTGCTCGAACATTAGGCAGGTATCGCAGCAATCTCGAACTGGACCAAACCTTGAAATTTGATTATTTGTTCGGAAATGTGTTCGACGTGCCATTGACAGAGGGATTGGCAACACGACAAAAATATGTTCCGTTTTCTCATCCGAAGTACACTAATTAAAATAATTTTTGGCTTGAATTCCCGTATAAATGTTTTGCGTATTGGGCTGTAATATTACCTTCATTCCAGGTCAGCGTGACTAAACACACATTTCGTGGTCTTTCAACAAGCACGGGTACTATGCTGTACGCCTGTGAGCTTTGTGAATATCGAACCCGTCAACGAGGATCCATTATTACTCACGAACGGATTCATACCGGCGAAAGACCATATAACTGCAGGATTAATTGTGGCAAAGGATTTAGTCAAGCTTCTAGCAGGAATTTGCATGAAAACCGGCGGTGAGTAGTTGAGCACATTATAAATTCTGCGAGTATCTTCAACGGTTCTGCCATTAGTAATATACTCCCTACAATAGAACTAATACTGCATAAAATACTCCAATTTAAATCGTGAACAGCTTCTGTGTGACGTAATTATCGGTTTAAAGAGCAAATTTTCAGTATCCTGAGTATTGTATTAAGAGTTCATATTAAATAAGCAGTGTAATTTATATTCTGCTATTCCTTATGTGCCGTCATCTTTTCCAGAATATGCCTCACCAAGAAGATGAAAAAGTGAAATCGCTGTGATGTGGCAATCTTGGGCTTTGAACTCATCAAACGCGTCAAAAGAAGCACGCGGTGTCGGTTTTTTATTTTATTTTTGCGAGTGTCGCCCATCTATGAGTGTGTGAACGAATTGCGTGATTCCAAGTGGTTTGGCTTTGACATCCTGTAAGAAAGATTGAAAAGAAAGCGTTCCGTTCATCTATTTCGGCAGTTCTTCTCCGAATACGTGGGTGATACCCTTTCTCGTTGTCGAAGAATTTCTCGACTGCTGTGCGCGCGTAGAAAGATGCATACTATTTGGTTTGCCAAGTGAGAAAAGCAGATTGAGAAATGACAAACTTGCCATTTTGTGTAATTTTGATTCTGTCGTATCCGCATCGGGGAAGCTGGAATCCAAATTTGATTGCCGGAATACTTTTTCCGCAGCGTTGTGGGAAATTGGTGCCTAGCGATGGCGTCATCGGCGGGAAGCAAAGCATCTCGGTTGGTCCGTAATGTCAAACCGGTGATGTCATTGGACAGGTCTGAGGCACGTCGGCGTGTCCTCGGGCTTTATAAAGCCTGGTACCGCCAGATTCCGTATGTTGGTAAGTCTTGTGCTGTGCACGATTTTAGAAATCCCACATTCGAGCTGAATGTCCGCATTTTTCAACGATTATTTTTAAAACTTAGGGCGCCTTGAAGATCTGGGCCAGAATTTGTAGCTCGTGGGTTGGTCTAAAAATTGCTCACTTCGAAAGATTCGAATTACTTGAAATCATCAACCAACTCTCCAGCATTTGGGTTACCGTACATGCATGATCTTAGCTAAATGCTGGTTACTTATGATTTGAAGTACAGTACTGGTAGAAACGAGAAGCGTCCCATAACTTTCGTTAGAATCGTCCAATGTGCAATTTTGATACGGTGGTCCCAATGTTGCGTGTAAGTTTTTCCGTATCAATTTTATTTCCGAAATCACGTGTTAGAAAATTCATGTGTTCTAATGTAATTTCTCTGGCGAAATGAAGTGAGGAGTTCATATCGCTTAAAAATCGATCCACCTTTTTGTCAAGCTGGTACAATTAATTTTGCGACATTCTTTAAAGCAAAACTTAGTGGGTTTCGGATTCTCCGGTGACATTTTCTTTCGAGATCCAAGAACTTCAAGATTGGTGTCTTCAAATAAATGGTGCATTTTATTCGCTTGAATAATATAACTGGAAAATTTCTAGCGAAGAATCAAATTGATGTTTAAGAAAATTAATTTTTCTCTTTTTCAGTGGCGGAATATGACATACCGAAGAGCAAAGAACAGTGCAGAGAAAAATTGCGCGAGCAGTTCTTGCAAAACAAGGACATCACTGATATTCGGGTGATCGATATGCTTGCCATCAAGGTACGTAGTACAGTACTTCGCGAATAACCGTATGTTATTCTGATGAAAACGGTTGTTCATCAGGGTCAAATGGAACTGGTGGAAACTGTGAAAATGCACAAACAATCGTGTCATGTTATGGCGTACTTCAAGGAGACAGTAAATAAGCGGCCGGAGGATTTTTTGTCGAAATTTTATGCTGGTCAATGATGCACCGTCGATTAGGCGTAATAAACTTTACCTTTAGCATGAGCTAAAGGTTGTGAGTCTTCTATTCGTGCGTTTGTAGAGTAAAAAACAGCGTGCTAGTGCAATAAAACCATCCGATTTTTATTCTGCTGGTCGCCATTCATTTTATCAAATTCAATTGTTTCGTGTGCCTCCTCAATTGCCATTGTTAAACCATGTTTCCAAGATCCTCAGAATTTCCAATGATAGAAAATACTCATTCTAAGATTGACCAAGTTTATAATAAACTGACGAAATGCTGAATTCATCCGTCATACAGTGGGTCCTCGTAGAACAAATGGCTCTGGTCGCGGTACGAAACTTATTACACAAATATTGTCTCCCATGATGCATTTTTGTACATGAAAAATTACTGATAAACAACATTTTTCGAATTACAACAAGTCATCGGATTAATCAATAGAAATTTTAAACTTTTTGGATAATAATTAGGTGAAAACGTTTGGGCGATATTCGCGATGCCAAATCATTCATGTTATTGTCACTACCTCTGAATCAACTATACACGTATTGAAAACACACCGTTGATACCGTATTTAGTCCCAGGGAATGCCGCAGCGTGAATTAAGTGGCGTCATATTTGTCAGGAGAAAAACAATTTTGTGGCATGTCTGTTGAAACAGAAATGAGTCAGTACAACAGGGTTTATAACCTGTCAAAATGAATTTTTGTGTGGATATAGTACAAGTTTTCTCTCTGGGCCAAGTTAATTTTTTTAATGAAGCTGTAAGTGAATTTTTGATTCGCCTGTTGAAATTTTTGCATGCGGCCGGCAGTTTTGTTTTGTAATGCAGAGACCGATTGTACTTGTAATTGTTTTTCATTATTTAAAATACAGTACTGTACAGTATTTTGAATCATCTGAGAAACACACGTCAAAATCAAATGTATGGATCACAGGTAAAACTTGGTTATTATTTTTATTGCCCAGCATGAACTTATATGGAGATAACTTGAAAATAATACTGTACCATTACCTCAATTTTTCATTTTTAAGAATGATGTATTTTTGTTGAAATTTTCAGTTTCCGGGAAGGTTGAGCATTGATTAAAACGACAACAATTCCGTAATTCTTAGCAGGAAATTACGAACTTATGCAAGAACATGCGCCTTCATTGAGCTTAAAAAATCGTCGCCATCGTTTTTCAAGAAATGCTGCATGTAAATGATCTTAGTTTTAATATATTGCTTATATATAGGTATACAATTCATGAAAATATGAATGGTTGTACAGTATGGGGGGGGGGGGGGGAAATTGGTTCTATACTACATGCAGCCCATTGAAGAAAAAAAGAAATACAGTATGATTAGGGCAGCTTTTTCTTTCTGAAATTTTGGAATGGTCCAATAATAAAAGCTGATGAAACCTTATTATGCATCATCAACAGAAACACTTCCAATTAATAATCGGTACAGTGAAAAAAATCAATAGCTGACACTTCTCAATGTTACTGGATTCCAGATTGTTATTGTCGCAGCTTTTGATGAGACCTTTTATTGGAACCTGAAGCGTGCTATAGGAAGTTGGTTATGAATTCTGTCAGAAAATTGTTTTTCAACTAACAGATCAGCAGATATGGGAGGAAACAATTTTGGATTGCTCTTCATCCAATTTTGCCAAGTTTCCATCACAACACATTTTTAAATTCCTAATTTTTTCCTATGCAGTAACTGACTTTCCCAAGAAATGCAGAGCCGTACAGCATATTTTACTGCACTGGATATTGCTCACATCATCATAAAGAACAGCAAAAAGTTGAACAGTCACTGAGATTAAGCTGCTCCATGCATGGAATAGCTGATGAGTCCCAAATATCTGGTGAATTCTCGAAGAAATTAATAATTTATCAACGTTATAATCACGATTTAATAGAATAAAAAAATCACCAATAAGTAAGAATACGACCGCTAACAAAAGCAAGATTAATAACGATTTTATGGACTCGAAAATTTGTGCCGTCAGTTTTCCCACTTAGAACATCGATCCGCGTGAGGGCACAATAAATTTTCATGCCGTCTGCCATCCAGCGTGGTTCAATCGGAAGCAAGAATCAGTGAAGGCCGAATTCGGTGTGCGAGGCGTTGGTACAATTCTTGGTACTGTACCATGCCGAGACGCATTTACTGATCGGCCCTAGCATGTTACTTGTGGTGAAATGTATCCCCGCGATGCCTGGATATGTTCTAAACTTGTGCATTCTATGAACCTCCATCTACTGTTGTGGATGGTCAAGCGAATGGCCTCCGTATCTCGGCCGATGTCCATCGGCGCGGTGTGGATGCCCTCACCAAATATTGTAGTTGCGCATTATGCTTCATTTCAAAGGTGGCCAGAGCCATGAATGGCGAAGTTGAGTGTTGCTGTTGAAGGCATTGCGGGTTGCTCTTTGGTGATTCAGTTTAATTTTTCCTCTATCCGCGTCGCTGTTGACACGAGCAATCGGTGATGCAATTGTTCGCGGGAAAAAGTCAGATCCTGTGAGCGATCTTCACCGTTTGTGTTGAATTGACATGTTCTATGTTCAAAATCAAGGTTTACTCACTGTTACTCCGGAGAATTGTCAGTGCCGCTCGCGTGAGGAGGACCTTTTGTGGACAGAAGTGTTCTGTGGGTGAATTACTGTCAGTGAGGGAATTAACGGGATTTCTGTCACGAGAAAAATTGCCGTTTAGGTCATGTGTGTCGAGAATGGGGTTAGACAAATCAAGGAAACGCACGATCAGTGCGGATGTCCCATACGACAAAAGCGCAAAAATCGTTTCTCTTTCTCAATTACTGGAACCCTTGCCGAGCAAAGAAAAGGTTCCTCCCGACGATGAAGGCGACAATCCGTGTTCTTGCCGCATATCTTCATCAACTTCCGGATTTTCCTTGGATGCTCAAGGTCAAACCGATCCTCTCAGACTGAGAAGTTCATGTCATTTGCGACGAAGTTTGAGGAAGCGTCGAGATTCACAAGCGGCATGGATGAAACTAGTCTTGTCCTTATCTGTGCTGTGTGGTTTGTTTTCCACCGCTTTCATGGTATTCCGCGTGAAATCTACTTCTTACGACAAAGATGAAGCTTGGCTTAAGTCTATAGCGTCTGATCTATTCGCGTACCAACCAAGAAAGCAAGGAAGTGATAGGGTGAGTTTTACATGCAAATCTTTCACGTTCGGCTTTTTATGCTCATGATCAACAGGTGTTGCATTCCTGGCCTCATCATCTCCACGATGACAACTATGCTACGGAAGCTCGAGTTGAGGAGTCTTTATGGGATCCAGAGCCGAACTTCGTGGCGCCACGACATCCGACTAGTTTACAGCAAGCTAATTATTTTAGTCAGGAAGGTGACAAAAATCTCCGGCCTCGAACTGAGCGTGCTGCGGAAGCGAATGCATCCCTACGAGCCGCATTGGAAATGTCAAAGGCGGGGAAAATGACGAAAGCTATGCGACTCTTTCAACACGCTCTTGCCTTGTTGAACGATGACCCAGAACTATTGATCGCTTATGGGGAGTTCCTGGAGAAGTACGAGAACAATTTCATCCAAGCTGACCATTATTACTCTAAAGCCCTCACTCTTTCACCGCGGAATTCCCGAGCTTTGGAGAATAAGCTGCGCACTTCACCGATCGTTGCCGATTTGGATTTTCGCACGCTGACAAGGATTGATGAAAAGAGAGATGAATTGGCAAAAATTCCGGATTCGAATGCCGCTCTACGTCGCATCAAGAAAGAAGCATATTTTCAGGTTGGCCGTCGATTATTCCTTGAAAATCCCTCGCTCATCTTGCGCTGAACATTGCGCTTATTTTTTAACGAGCATGTCGTACGCTTTCTATGTCTTCTAATTAACTTGACCCGAATTCGGTGAATACACAGCTATGTCTGAGTATGTATCAGTGTATCAGCGACGAATTTCGCAAGATAATTTTTAAATTGTTCAAGTTTTAATTCTATCTTTCTAAAAATTTTGTTTCTGCTCTTCATTCATGGAAATGCAGGGCTATCGATTCAGATTTAAAAACTTCGAAATGAATCGAAAAACGGACACTTGAGAGAAAGAAACATGTCGATATTTGAGCGGAACAAAAATGACATTCAAATTTAATTTCGGAGGTACTGTATTTGTAAAATTTTGTCACTGTATGTCATTAGACCGATTACAATCCAAAAAAAAATTGTAGAAAAATTTTAATTTTCCATTTTTAATGCGTTTGGTATGTAAGCCTACCTTTAGAATTTTTAGCCATTTCATTTATGAAGTGTAACGTGCCATCGAGTTGGATGTGCTTTCTAATTTTTGCGTCGAGAAACTGATGAACGCGAAGTTCTACATTTGTGTACGCTTCTTGACTTGGTGTAGGATGTAATTTAGCTGATTAGATTGGGGCAGATTCTGATATGAAATAAGCTGTATATGCTAACCTGATAGTAAAACATTTTCTTCCTACAGTATGTGTATCACACTGTTGGCATAGAGGGAAACACCATGACCTTGTCTCAGACGAGAAGTGTGCTTGAAACACGCATGGCGATCGGGGGGAAAAGCTTGATGGAGCACAACGAAATCCTCGGGATGGATGCTGCATTGCGATTTGTGAACCAAAGTCTTTTGCATAGAATCGGAACGATCACAGTGGGGGACATTTTTCAAATTCATAGGAAGGTCATGGGGATGGTTGATCCCGATATTGCTGGTGTTTATCGGAAAACTCAGGTGAATATTTTCAAAGTTGCCGTTTTATTTTATGTAAAATTTACTTGTACCGTTCGCAGTATTTTCCAGCATTGGTTTAACTTCGAAGGCGTAACTTTAGTAAATTTAGAAAATTACGCAAAATGATTTTCTACTTCATACTCGAGGATAAATTTTAAAATTATTGTGAGCTTAGTGATTTTGCCTTATTGAATAAAAAAGTTTTCATGGTACTGAATGAATGAAAAGTATTTCCGTGAACTGGTAACCGCTTTCAGGACTTAATCTCGAAAACATGCTTTTAGTCGAACATTTCCTGAAATCAGCAAAGATTTTCTTGCTTCTTGTCACACAAATCAATGTCTTAAAATCCTTTCAGAACGGTTTTGTAGAAATTTGTTGAGTCGAATGGGAAGTTGAACAGGCATTTTTGTCAGCACGTAATTTTCCTACAATATATTGACCTTGCTGGAACGGTCATCTCAACGTAGGTTTACGTGAGTCGACACGTACCTCCGACATCGGATAGACTTCCTTCTCTAATGGATGACCTGGTAGAATGGTTGAATTCGCCATCAGCTCTGGAGGCTCATCCTTTGCAATACGCAGCTCTTGCGCATTACAAGCTCGTATACATTCACCCTTTTGTGGACGGGAATGGACGGACTGCGCGTTTATTTATGAATTGGATTTTGATGCAAGAAGGTTACCCACCTGTGATAATTCGGAAACAAGATCGGCACAAATACTACGAAACTTTACAGCTGGCGAACGACGGCGACGTTCGACCTTTCCTTCGCTTCGTGGCAGACTGCGCTGACAAGACGCTGGATGTGTATCTGTGGGCAACGAGGTAAATTTTTCACGAATTCTCATTGACGCTCTTTAAGATTTTTCAAATTTTGTTTTTTAACCGCGTGTGATGCATCTTCAGTTTTTTCATATAATGGACAGGTTTTAATTTTGTTACAGCAACGAACTCGATAATTTAGACATTTTAGAATATATATTTGCTGACGTGTTGCGGCCTGTTCGAAGGCTTTTGCGGCGATGACTTCCAAATTTTTGATACGCCTCCCTTTTTTCCTCTTCCAGAGAGAGTCCCGATAGAGCAATTCGTGCTCTCCCAAAGGATCGGAGTAAGAGTGATGAGGAATTCGACGTGGATGAAGTACCTCTCAACTTATGACATGTGGTGGCTTTTGTTCGCAAATTGACGTTAGAGATTTGCAGTTCTTTTCGTATGATCTGACTCTTCATCGGGATCTAATCCTTGAGATATCTCACAATAGTAACAAAGCTTCCAAATCTTCGCAGGACTTTACGGCGCTAGTTGCTCTGCACGGAGATTGAAAATTTGTATTCAATTGTCCCCGGTTGATGACTCGAAAATAAAGTTAAATAAACATAGTTTTCATGACCTTGAAACATGGAAAGTATGGTAAACAATAATTATATTATGAACTAGTGAATATCTTCCATGATCTTTTCGTCGCCTATTTGAAAGCTTTAATTATCATGTCAGTGGTGGAGTTACTGCTTTGTTTGTGCAAGTTTGTTTGAAAAAAATTATTTTTCTCTCGAATTCTGTACGAGATCATTACATGTTCTGTGCATTTAGATCTTAGAAATTGGCTGAGGGAAAATTTACAAACCTTAAATGCACTGAACATGTATATAAATGGTAATTTTGCAGATCTGCCGGATTTGTTGACTGAAACTCGAAAAGTATCATTATCATAGTCGACTTTATGTGAAGAGTCGGCAATGTGTCCAACAAGACGAAATATTGACATTATGCTCTCAAAATGTAACGTCAGACTTTTATCTGCAGAATTACCAAAAGTCCGCTCTGGTTTTGAAGTTCATTCATTTTTTATTGATGTATGACTGAAGTTATTGATTCACGCTTGTAGGCGTTGCGTAGTTTTCGTTTTATGAGTTTTTGATTTTGTTCGGCTGCGAGGAACGGCAATGTCGCGGAATAGAACATTGTCGTTCACATTGCCGCGGCACCCATTTGGTTCTCGGCGTTCTAGACACGCGTTTTCTTCCGGAAGAACGACAAAATCCGCATCCGCCCCCGCAGAAACGATCGACGGTTTCTCGAAGCATCATCGAAATTCCTTCCGGAAACTCTTCTCGAAGGTTGTCAAGACCCGCGAAGAAACGTCGGGTGAGAAACGTAGTGCGAGCTGCAAATTCCGCCCACCGCAGATGAACGAAGACCAGCTGCGAACTTATCTTTTTGGAAATAAAACACCTGGAGCAGTGGGGTTGACGAACCATGGAAACACCTGTTTTATTAATGCCGTTGTACAGTGTTTGAGTCACACTGATCGGCTTGCCGAATATCTGGCTTTGAACCAGTGAGTTCTTGATTATTGATTAAGTTAGGGATCAAATATGTCGATAGCATGCTTTCTGGCCTACCTTAGAATATCAGAATGCAGTTTGTTATTCAGAGGAACACTTTATTTTTGCTCGTAGGAGTATGGTATGATTGATGATCTGAAACTAAAGTATTTAACTGACTTCGTTGAAATTTGACTGAATTTTCTGCTTGTCTACGCGCATACCTAGCGTCGTAGTTGATTTGAAAGTTGATATGAATGGGATCCTTGTAAAAAAATCTCGGGTAAATTTTTCTTCAATCGCAATTAAATAGCTGAGGTGAGAAAATACTCTTGTTCGTCCCGTGCTTCTTCTCACGTGCTTCAAGGTCTTTTCACGGCTCTCTTTTAAATTTTGCATCCAGTTTCAAGTATGATTTGCAAATGAAGAGGAAGAAAGTTGGAATCATCATGAGAAGAGGAACAGGTGGAGAACTTACCGAGAAGTTGGCGACTGTGATCAGAGCTTTGTGGTCTGGACAGTATTCGTCATCGGTATCAGCTGATTTCAAAGCCGTTGTGGAAAAATACGGCACCCTATACCGGGGTGGAACGCAGCATGATGCTCAGGAATTTCTTCTTTGGTTACTCGACAAAGTCCACGAAGACTTGAATATTGCCAAAAAACGCCGCTACAAACACCTCAAAGTATGAAACATCTGGTCAATCTTTCTATGCCAACGTAGGTTTATGACGGTTTTTTTTTATGTCAAGGGTACTTGTGCAAAAGCAGACGAGGTGTTGGCTGCCGAGTCCTTGCATAATTTCCTGCGTTGCAACGAAAGCTTTGTTCATGGACTCTTCCAAGCACAGTTCCGATCCTCTTTAACGTGCCCACACTGTCGGTGTCAATCCAACACGTTCGATCCTTTCTTGTGTCTTTCCCTGCCCATTCCCCAGGCTGCTCGTCGTCCAGTTTTTGTCTCCGTCGTGTTCCTCAGTCAGCAACCTCGCCAGGTATGTTCGCTTCGTCGAATGATGCATCTGTGTAATTGGTTTCACTCAAGATTGCTCATGAATGCTTTTGTCTCCCAATCATCAAATTCTTGCTTTAAAACTATGAGATTGCTGTAAGCCTTCGGAAATTAATCTCATGAAATTGTAGATGAGAAGGCGTAATTATTAACGTTCAAATGTTGGATGACAACAAAACGCAGACAGGTTTAAAACAAAATTTTCATAGTTGCAGACTTGCAGTGAAGTCAGCTTCAAGTTAACAAACTTCTGTCCACTAGAAAAAATCTCTTAGTTAACAAACCAGAAGTTGGTTTGCAAACTTTTATGGAATGTAAAATTTTGCTGAAAAATTAAAATTTTACTGAAACACAAAATCTTTCTCTCCCATTCGTAACACCGATGTAGGTACTTCTGAGATTTCCCCTTTCATACTGTTTGGTGGAGCATTATCAACTTTATTTTTTCAGTGGATCTATGTGCGTTTCTGTCTTTCCTGTTGTAAACGGTGACCATTTGTCTTTAATTTTCCTACCGAGTAACTGGCATGCAATTTCTGATACACTTGTAAAGGTAAGTTTCTCTTGCAATTTTCCAGTACAATTTAAGAAAAATAAACAACCCATTTAATATTGTGTTCTCATTTATGCGATCATACAGTTGCGGATGACTAGGTCATGTTATTCTGGTAGATTTGACGTATGCACCCACTATCTGTCGAGATTTTCACCTTGATTCATTACAACGTGGCTAAATTTTTTCCCACTGATATGCGTTTCCGGAATTGCTGACGAATATATTTTAACCAGGTGAAATTAGGCTTCAGTATGGATTGTGATGCGACGATCGGAGAACTTCGAGAAACGATTGCGACCGATACTGGTATCAATATCAATCGTTGCGTACTTGCGGAAATCGACGGAGAGGGATTTCGTCGAACGTTTTCTGGTATTTTTCCGTGTTAGTTCTCGTGTGATTCAAATTAATAACGTGTTCGGATCTCGTATGCAAATTTCAGACCATCAGAGTTTAAGAGCGATTGACGTGGATGACCGAGTGCACGGTCTGTATGCCCTGGAGTTGCCTGAAGCGAGAAATTCGTCCGAGGAAGAGGGAGAGATAATTTCTATTGTATTAGTCAACGTTCTTCGTTCTTCAGAGAGCGGCGAAGTGGGTGACGAACATTTTGAACAATGCACGAGGTTGGTTTTGGATTTTATTCAGCATTAATCTGAAGTAAAGTATTTCTTAAAATTGAGACTTCGGAAATGAAATCACGAACGAACTCACTCAGACATTCCATGGTCTTCTTTTTTGTTACGCTATTACATCATGATATGATGTGGATTCATCGAAATAGTTAATTCTTCTTACTTTTCCCCAGGTTCGGTTCTCCACATGTTACACAATTGCGGAGAGAGATGAGTTATGAAGATTTCCAGAAGCTGCTGTTGAAGGAGATGCAAAGCATGGTGCAGCCTTCGATTTTAACTTCGAAACAAGAGGTGAAATGCTGCCTTCATTGCGACATGAGTCATTATTGGGGTTATTGAATTTTAATTTTCGTTCATTCATTATTTCAGATGCCTTTGTTTTCCGTTGAAGTTTATTCTGGAGAAAAAAATGGAGAAGTGATTGATCCTACTCTGAATTATCCGCTTTATGCGGAGGCCGTGGACCAAGCTCTTAGTCTCAGTGATCCAGATGGGGATGGACAGTACGGACCGAAACATATAAAGCTAATTTTAAAATGGGATCGTGCTGTAAAAGAAAAGTGAGTTCCTTTTTCGAGAATTACCTAGTTCGAACGTTGCATTGATGAGAATACAAAATGTAACTCACTGTCAGTGCTGAAAATACTTCGTCTGAGGCAAAGGTGGGTAAATATATATACAGTACTTCGCGTTTGATAAACAAGGAAAACTTAAAGCGCTATGCGTTTTATTCAACCGTTTTAAATTGGTAATTTTCAGAGTAATTTTTGATGACCAAGAACACATGGATGATCACGAAAGCGTTCGTGCTTTACTCGATAATCCTCAATTCCAACCGCCTGTGACATTAGAGGAATGTTTCAGGGTAAGTTTTATCTTCGCTTGCCTCTTGCCGAGCATAGGTATTAATTTTTATTTTTATTTATTTTTCACTTCAGGAATATACGTCAGAAGAGATTTTGGGAACAGAAAACGCATGGCTGTGTCCCTCGTGCAACAAAAGAGGGAAAGGGATTAAACGGATTGCGCTTTGGTCTCTTCCAGAAATTCTCATTATTCACCTCAAACGCTTTAAACAGGTTTGTGCTTCACTCCGTTGGCGACGCTTCGAAACGCGAGGACGTACTGTACTTTTATCGACGTTACACGAAGTCAGTCTCATACTCGAGTTTCATATGGCTAATGGATTAAAGTTTTAAAGCGCAACACGACTATAAAAAAAACGCCGAGAATACTGCGGTATATTTTTGTTCATGCACGCACAACTTCCTATACCACGAGGGATGTCTGACGTTGTTTCGAAGAAATGTACAGTACCGCCGGCGCTTCAAAAATTTACTTGGTAATTTATTTTAAAGACTTACGCCATATTATCCGCTGGGTTTCACGTAATTTCCAGCTTTCAATCCACGAATCGAAGCAATCCACAAGTTGAAGATTTTTCTATTAATCCGTTCTAGAATTTTTAAGTGCTATTTCTGAACCTTTTATGCATCATACAAATCATAAATGATTTAGGAGTATAACTTCTGAACTTTTGGGTGCATTTCTAAAGTCATGCGGTTTGCACTGAGACCTCGCAGTAAATTGACGGCGATTTTTATTGGTTTTCCCGTATGTATGTAGGGGGTAATGGGTTGTATACTTGTAGGCTATTTCCGTTTATTTCATCACCTGATCAAATAAAACCTGGTGGTTAGAAACTTTAGCAAGAATACTGAAGACTCCAGAAAATCCTTTGGATTGCGGTGATCATTAAAAAAAAATTGACTGCTCGTAAAAATGCGACACTCCTCGTATCGCACCGCACATATCAAATGCCTTTTTCGAATGAACAAAATTTCTTGATTTTAAGTCGTGGATTTCTAATCGAAAAAAAATCGTCTTTCGACAGTGGAGTACTAATGGAATTGCAACGGGCAAGTTGACGACTCTAGTTGATTTTCCAAAAAATAACTTCGACGTGTCTGCTCACTTGGCAACGGCGAGTGAGAAGAAGCCTGGCCTGGAATCGCCAGATGACGATATTCGACGTGCCGGTTCGTCGTCGGGCATGTTCAAGCGTGTGTTGCGCAGAGTGAGAGGGGTTAAACCCGCACCAAAAGCAGGAACGTCGTCTGCGTCAGCGTCATTATCCAAGGGAAAACGACGTCCAAGACCCGAGGATTGTTCTTACGAATTATACGCAGTTTGCAATCACCATGGACTTGATGATCAGGGTGGACATTATACTGGTGAGCTATTCGAAATTATGTTCTTGTCGCGATCTGAAGTTTTTTTTTCAAACGGAGTTCAAAACTCAATTTCCGAACGCGTTCTCCTGCATTGAAAAAAGTTCTACAGTATTTATTATTTTGAAATTAATTATCTTGAATGTTTATCTCGTGATCATTCCTTCAAGTACTGTAGTGTAAATGTCATACTCATTCCTCAAAAACTATTTAGAATTAGGATTATAGGATTATTATTATTTTAGGATTATTTCATAATCTCTCCTCGAATAAAAAACCAGATAGAAGTTCCGAAGACGCGTTGAAAGCACGTGTCAGTTAGTTCATACCTTTGCGGTAGCCAAAAAAGTATATTTTTCTTCTATATTCACGACAGGCTGTGATAGTGTGAACATGCTGTATTTGCTTTCACGTTTTATATTTGCTAATTTTCAAGCTTTGATTGCTTCGATGAGTTCATGGTCCCGTTTGCAGTCGTGTTTGAATCATGCTAATCACAGCATTAATTCCGTAGAAAAAAAATTACCTGAGCAGAACTTCCGAAGAAGCTGTAAAAAATCAGTTGGTTGTCTCTACTGTGTGATTTCCGAAAAATTAATGCGACCGTATTTCCAGTACAGTCTTTCTTTTAACTTCGTGACTTTGATGATTTTGTTGAAATTTTTGAGGAAGATAGCTAAAAATGATGTCAATGTTTTTTTCTTCAGCCTATTGCAAGAACTCCACGGACGACAAGTGGTACTGCTTTGATGACACAAAGGTGTCCGTCATTGACAGAAACGAAATTGTCACAGAGGATGCGTACGTTTTATTTTACCGGCGAAAAGATCCGGGATCGGGTTGTGCCATGCTCGATGGATCGTCCACGATGCCCATGTCGACCAGTAAGAACCCTCTGGGGTCATCGGGAACACTTCCGATGAGGCACTTTCCCAAACGACACTGGGTATACGACATCCCGGGCTTGCGTCCTGTTAATGCCAGTGGCAGCAGAATCAGCGGTGGTGAAGAAGACTCCGGCGTAGGCGTCAGTCGGTGTTCAAGTGATGGACTCACGGTTAGTTGGTGGTTCGATTTTAATTTTCCCTATGGAATATCCCCCCTACATTTCACACACTGACACATCTACTGAAAAGAACCAGTTGTACAAAGTAAAATTTTCTTCGCGATGAGAGTCTGATCAATTCTTGTGAAAGAGTTCTTGACAATATTTCTTTCTTGGATTCTTGTAGCGCTACCTTGATTTTAAACGGAGAGGGTTTTACCCATTTTCAGTAGCGAAGCCCGTTGAGGAATAAAGTGTTTTTGTTAGTTTGGCAAAGCACTGTTGGGGAAATGATTACTTTGAGTCATCTTTTCGAGTTACGGACAATTTACGACTTGACTTTTTCCATCCGATTCTTGTTCCGATTACTTCTACAATACCATGAAACAGAAATTGGTATGAATTCTGTATCCGTTTCTTATTCCCCTTTCAATTTGCATTATTGTGAACATGTTCCTGGATATTACCAAGGACACGGAGAGGGAATCCTTGAGGGCTGGAAAAGTGCCATTTGAAAATCTTCGTTCTGAGTAGTTTTCCCTGGGTAATCGCGAATAACCTCAACTTAAAACAAACTGAGGAAACCTGACGTAACAAAACCCAATGGAACTTTTACTTCATCTCAAACTTGAATGACCGCACTTACGCATTGACCAAGAGAATCCTAGAGTTGGTGTAATTAAGCTTTCCAGTGATAAGGACTTCTTGTTGTCAGTGCTAGCCTTTTCATGCTTCAAGGCAAGGGCACATTTTCAAAGATTTCGGTAAAATTCTTAGGAATAAAATGCAGGTCAAACCAAAATCGAGTACTGTATCGAACTTTCCCATTTTATCGTCATTCACATGAATACAGCATGTTTTTCCAACTTCGATCACAGATCATCACGTATTCGAATATAAATAACTAATTTCGATCCATTACCAATATTCGTCAAACTGCAGGATGCACAAGACAGCAACTCAAATCTGGTGTGTAGCCGAGGCTCAACAACCAATAAGAACATCGAAGTCAGCACAACTTTCTCGGAGAATTTATGATTCATCTTTACCATGACGCATCAGTAGCAGTGACCGTTGAAGGGAATTTTGAGGACGATATTTTATCTGCGTGCCTTAGCTTGGTTGTACCGCTAAGCAAATCCTGCTTCCTTTCGAATTCATTGTCATGTAGAACCATTTGGAGTGATTGCGTATCAGTCAAGATCGGACTTGGATGAAATGGATTGAAGAAAATTGAGGGTAGAAGTGATAGATATTTTTGGGAAGAGATTTGAATATGTAAATTCCTTGGCTGCATGTTCTGTGGAATCGTCGATCGGATTGATCTAGTGATTTTTAACTCTTTTCCTACCTTGGTTTTTAAGAATAAGGAATTCATAATGAACCCAAACCAAATGAAATCCACTGCATTTCGGACACGCTAAGTCATGAAAAATTCAGAACAACGAATGAAGGAAACTCATATTCTAGACTTCGTGATGCTCAGACAAAGTCTAGGGGACATTCTTCTCTAGCACTACGTGTGATGACAATGGGCTTGATGTATGGCATGGGCTCTGGCACGCATGTGTCCTTAGCTGACAAGCGTTCCAGCGCGTGTAAAACATACATAGCGAGCAGGGTTGTGGCCAGCACAAAGAGCCAGAAGAACACATCATCGCTGGAGAAGGACAAGTCTATGTCCAGGCCAAAGTCTAGCAACGCTGCCCAACCTCCTTTCTTTTCATCATCATCTTCAAAAGCTCCCATTCCAAATGGCCCCCCAGCAAATAACCCGTACAACCCCGGCTCACACATTTTCAGTTTGCAATCGCTGCCCAATGGAAGATTAATCACTGGAAAAAAAGGGGATGAACCGCGAGGAGAGGGGAAGATTAAGCTTTTCTTAATTGAACACGTGGCTTACCCATTTGGATCAATTTCTCCTTCTCCTTCATTGTTTCGTACCACTTCTTGGGCGTGAAAGGCCCTGCTCTGCTCCCCACGACACGAATGATTTCATCCAGAGCGTAATAGATACATCCAGCCCAAATTGCTATTCTGAGAGAGAATGGACCCCAGTAGCCAAGTGGCCCAGCATACGCGAAAGCTACCAGAAGAAGCAGCACTGCTTTCAGGAACTTGTCATCCTTCTGCATATTAATTAAAATGAGAAAGATATTTTGATATGAGTCGATTGATTAGCCCTGAGGATAAAGAAATAAGGTTTTTAATGTCAGCGTTGTTCAGTATGCGCAACATCCGATTACTTTTAATTGTAACTGGAATACCCGTTTACAAACTAATTGAAGATCCAATGAAACAACGGGGGTTTCCCCCAGCACTCACAGCACATATTGCCTGAATGACGAGGGCCAAGAAGCAGAAAAAGAAGAGATCATCAGCCAGTGGGTCTGACATTCGATTGGTGATGGTCGGACGCCCACTGGACATGATGCATATCAGAAATGCTGTCCACATGAGGATTGGCGCAACCCAACTGCACCCCTCGTGCCACAAATATGCTGCTGTCAGTGCTGGAATACCCATGCTGAAGAACATGAAGTAGAGTCTATGCTGGATTGGCGCGAACACCTTGGCGAGGATACCAAAACCTGAAGTAGACAACAAAAGAAGAAAGAACAGGCTCATTTCAGAAAATAAGATCAAAAGTCCCTGGGACAATGGGTCTCACTTTCTTGAATTTTTAAAATATGGCTCAGCTAAATTTAAGGTCCGCAGAATGAAATTTGTACCCAGAACTTACTGCACAGATTTTAGTCTATATACAGTACTTACCTATACAGTATTTACTCGAGTACTACGCGATCTTTTTTTCTTCAAAAATGTGACAAAAAGAATCCTTTTTCTGCTTCGCGATTCTTTGTTTCGCACATCAAAATAGACACAAGTGCATCACTACTCCTAATCATTTTTCGACAGTTAATCATTATTACGCTGTACCAGCCATTCTAAGACAGTTGGAAATGCATCAGAAAAGCTTAAATTAATGTTGGCGTCAATATTGCCTGCATTTGTACAGTATGATTATTTATGGACGTGTTTGAAATGTTACAATTTTTTGTGGTGAAAATACTGAAAAATGCGAATGCGCCTCTTAATCTGTTTTTTTTTCAAACCACTATTTTCAGTGACAATGAAGTGAATAAGTAATCTTTTCAGATGAATTTAGTTCATGAATCACTAGATGGGTGTTGAACTAATATACTTACTTTGAATGAGCATCAAGTAAGTGTAGGCAGTCAAGGCATTCCACCAAATGCCATTGAAAAGCATTTTGTAACCCTCGGACATGGCAAATTTGATTTCATGTTGCCGTAGACGGTCAAGTCGCTGGATGAGTATCCCGCATGCAATTGCATACGAAAGAATGTAGAACAGAGAAAAGCCGCGGTCATAGTGCTCCACAACGAACAACTTGCTTCCAGAAAGCTCTGCATATGTGTCACAATGTTGCATGCGAAAATGTAACATCTTGAGAGTCTCCAAGTCCCACTCGTCTTCTTTTTCCGGCTGATGAGGCATCAGCTGTAAAAAAAAAAAAACATATGATCAAACTGATTGAAATATCCGCGCAAAACTATTTTGAGGAAGGGGATTACCCTATCTTTTAAATCAATTTCGAAGTTACTGTTCGTTCTAGGTGCTGAGGTGATTTAGTGGCATAAACCTCCCGCGAAAGAACGAACGAGCCTCTCCAACTACATTTGTTCTCTTACTTAATTTTAGCTGAATTGAGATATGTGTGCTTCGAGTGCCCAACCAAAAGGACTCACAGGAACATTATAGCGCTTGAATAGTGTTTCACCGATCATCAAAGGACCCCGGGTTGAACCCTTGCTAGACTTCTTGCTGCCGCCGGCAGATCCACGCCCTTCCTCCTCAGGCAAAGGCAGGGGTACTCGTGGCTGATACCTGAAGTGCTCAGTTGATAAATACTTCGCAGCTTTGGGCCCACATCTGTCTATTATTTTGTTGGACACCCCGGAATCCCACGGCTTTGGTGGGTACCTTCTTCTCGGTCGAGTTCCTTCATCATCATCTCCATGGTCGCCCATTTTATTTTATCCCGAAAAAAAAGTTGGTTCCTTCCTACAATCCTTGTAAAAAATTATCCGAAACTGCCGAAGTATTAGTGATATAGTTCTTTAATAAGTAACTTCAGTGAAAGAATAATGGGAGTAAAGGGTAATGCTGAATAAAATATGTCCTTTGGTAGATATTACTTCGTGGACAGGCTTGCTTCCGGGCCGAGGCTTCAACTCTTCTTCAGGTTACCTTCACTGATCTCTGGAAAAAAAACTGCCCTTTTCATTTTAAATCCCCGTATTTTTCAGCTCAGATCTTACAAAGCTGTTAGTATTGAACTTCAAGAGATTTTACTTCCGAACGAGCACATGAAAGCCACTCAACCCTTTTTTTATTTTTTTTAGAGAGAATAGAAAATCTGTGAAGAAATTTTACCGGAGAACTTGGTTAAATACGAATTTATGAACACAATTTAAAAGCTTGAAAATCTTGAATCTGAACGAAAAACCGTCGATCCAAAGAGTGTGTAATACTTTTTCTATGCGTCGCTTTCTCTTGAACTTTTAATCATATTTCGAGTTTTTATTACCTCAACGTGCGCCAAGTGGATTTTTATTCCTCGTGAAGTTTGTGTTCGTGTAAATGGGAAAATTTATTTTGGAAAATGTCAACAGTTGTGAGTCATGTCTCGTTTATGACGTGGGAGTTTTCCGAATGCCAGACTTCAGTCGTATTTAGTTTACCATTTTTGTTGTTGTAGACGTGTGGTCGAAAGAATGTCTTAATAGCTGACGTTCTACGTGTTCGCATGGACGTTGTTTTTTTCCGGATTGAGCTTCATTCCCGTCGGAAGAATCGTGCGATTGTTCGGAAGAAGATTAAAAAGAAAAGTCTTGGGAGAGTGATAATGGAACAGCGTCTGTTGTTTTTTATTTCCGGATTTGATGACTGGAAATTTCGAACAATTCTGTCCATGCTCGATGAACAGTTGAGTTCTCGGATGATTATTTGAGAAAGGTAACTCTCTTTGGAGAATTGTCGAAATTTCCAGCGATCGATGCGTTGAGCATGAAAACTCCAGGTTTCGAGGTTGTTCTAGAATTCATGGCGGAAGAAGTGAATTTCAGAAAAAGTTTAATCGAAGTGGAAGAATGCGCCGACGTTATCATAACCGACAGAAAGAGGATCGTCAGCTTGGACGAACGTAGGCAAAAGGATCGAGAAGGTTTGCGAGCCATGAAAAATGCCGACGACAAGGTTTTCTACTGCGTTGGATCGTTATTGATGAAACTTCCGACGAAGCGCGTCACTTCCCTTCTCGAGCAAGGTATGCATGTATGGATTTTTTGACATTCCGGGAATGCTAAAACTTTTATTTGCACTGTATTATACGCGCATGAAAAGTTTGAAAAATATTGGCTGTGAATTTTCAGAATTTTATGGTAGCTTTCTTAATCTTCTGATGCGTCCGGTTTCCATCTGATCGTTGGTGGATGAACAAGGGGTCTTCGAAAGTTTTGAAAATCTCCTGCAAACTGTCGTTGAGGTCAGATGAAGATTCGACTGCGATTATGCTCATAGATTATTGAAGAGAAAGACTGGTCTAATGTGAATTATGTTCTCCAAAAAATAAGGTCCTTTTCCGAGTTTATTTAGGTTTCCATTTAGGCTTACATTGGAGTTTTCGTGAATAATTTGGTATAAGATTTTTTGCCTTTGTTTGAGGTTTTTTCAACGACAACACTGTAATGTTGAAATTGAAAACCAGACTTCATCTTCTGAAATTAAATGTTTTTGACGACTCGTAAGAGTGCAAGACTTTTGATATACCCTTAATATGCTGTTGCAAACTCATTCTCTCCAGCATTTGCGCAACTTCGGGTATTAGTTAATTGAAGTGAAGCGTTAGAGATTTCTCCTGGTTGAGAAATTTCGAACTTTCCGTCTGGATTTAGATGAATGTATATTGAATGAATATTTCTTTGTTCCAGATATCGAAAGAACTGAGATGCAGCTAGACAGTTTGAGATCTGGACTCAAAAAGAATGTGGAAACTTTGCGTCGCTTGGAAGGAGACGAAGCTTTGCGAGGATTTGACCTCAAGCCTTTGAGTAGTGAAGAAATAACCGGTTTGAAGTCCTGTTTGGGTGCTGGTCGGTAGCAGAGCGGAGAATATTCTATAAAACGCTGTTTACGCAAGATAATTCATCATCATCATCAAGTCCCGTTTGCCTTGTGCGTGTGCTTGTGTTCACTTACGCCTCCGTGTACGCTGCCTGCTCCCAATTCATGCCACAACGATGAATCGTGTTAAAAGCGTGTGGATGCGAAGTCATGCATCGTTTGCGACCTTTACCTTCGCGTTTTGAAATATGATGACGCATAAACATTCCTTTTGCGGGATATGCGATTCACAGAGTTTATTGATCAAGCCACAAGCACAGTGTTTGATCGTCACAGCTCATGATTTTCCCATGACTTGGAAAGGGAATGGGAGAGGGTGGGATTTGATGAGGTCTTTTGATGGTTTGTGCAAGGGATTTTCCCACTTTTTTCCCTCTGGTTATTCAGTGAGGAGTTAAAAAAAAGGAATATGCGCTTGAGGTCAAAACCACTGTGGTGGACAAGTTGCTCCGTCAGTGTCGAATGTGATCTCGGGGTTAGTGGGGGTGCCGTCATCGGATGAGCGTTGTGATAGGAGGAAATGACTTGATGGGGAAGTACATAAGATTAAATAAAATCAGGAAGGAGTGATACCAAATTTGTTTTTCATAAAGTAGAGTATTTTGAACCAGTATTCAAAATTTCTCATATTTATTGTCTTCCATATTGATGAATTTTCTCTGCTCCATTATAAAATGATCATTATTTTGAATGGGAATACTTGCAAGTTTTTTTTTTTAATTCGTTTTCCAACAGAAAAGGTTTGGATATTTGCAGTACATGGATAGTTGGCCCCAGAAACGATGAGCATAAATGGAAAATCATACTCTGCCACATTCATCATGGTTTCGTCACTTTTTGGTGAAATTGTGCGTGAAAAATTGGGATATTTATCTTGGCACTGAAGCCCCAGCTCTCTCAGATAAACGCAATTTTTTTTAGAATTCAGAAACAGCATTTTAGGGTTGCTTTGAATAGTGGATAGATACAGCCGAAGTAATATGTTCAACTTACTGTTGATTATTGATGAATGTAAAATGCAAGACCTTCCTTTGCATTTAAAGATTGTGGGCATCACTCCTGTATTTGTTCTAAAAGTGTTTACCTCCCCCACGCGTAATTTCTATCCGACCGCGGTGGAATTTTATAAATTTCCATGTATTTTGGATCTCCTAGCGGCATTGTGAACGTGGTTTTTACCGCGCTCGTGAACTATTAAATTTTTTTGAAATCTTGCATGAAAAATCGGGAAAAATTTTTCTTGTTCAGCTTAAATTTGTGAAGGCTGAACTGGTCTAGCACTTTAAGTGCACGTGATACAGTACACAAACCCGGGCTGTCATGCTGCGGAAGCCGTGACTAGCTCTTGCTGTTTCGCTTTGTTAGTCTCCATCATGGCGGAGCGCCATGAGGACGCGAAAGTAGCGGATTTTGTAGATTGTCACAAAGATTTTTGTCGGTGCACTTCGAGGCAAAATGGAATCGTTCAACCACTTCTTACTGGTGAGTTTTGCTCTTTTCGATGATAATGATGCATTGTTCTTCCGAACATGACTCGCTACCCTGTTGTAGTAGAAAAAGTTATCTACAAACGTGATCTGGGTCACGTTTGCGAGTCACGTCGTATCACTGACTCCCATGTTATTTTTTATTGATTTATTTCTTTTCTCTCCCTCAGACCTGTATCAGATCACTATGGCCTACGCTTACTGGAAATCTGGTAAAGTTGAGGATCACGCTGTCTTCGATCTCTTCTTCCGGAAGAACCCGTTCCAGGGGGAGTTCACGATCTTCGCAGGGCTTGAAGAATGCGTGAAGTTTTTGGATAATTTTCACTACTCTGATAGCGGTAAATCATTCTGCGCGAATCATCTTATCTATTTTTAAATTTACTCCTGTCCTTACAGATATTCAATATTTGAAAGAAACTTTTTCATCACAAACTGATCCCGAGTTTTTTGAATTTCTTGGAAACCTGACGGCGAAAGAGATCACGTTGTACGCCATTGAAGAGGGATCCGTCGTTTTTCCGAGGTGAATTCGTCATTGTTCACTATCAAATTATTTTGAACGTTGACAAATGATGGCTTCGCAAATTTTCGAGCAGAGTGCCATTGATACGTGTAGAAGGTCCGCTGATCGTTGTGCAGTTGCTGGAAACGACATTGCTTACTTTAGTTAATTACGCAAGGTTAGTTGAATTTTTCATGAAAATTATTCTTTGTTAACTGAAATATTTAATTTAATAGTCTGGTAGCTACGAATGCTGCTCGGTATCGTATAGCAGCTGGTAAGCAAGCGCGTTTGCTGGAGTTCGGACTTCGGCGTGCTCAGGGACCTGATGGCGGTCTCAGCGCCTCTAAATACACCTACGTAGGTGAGAATTTCCTATTTTTATGTACGAAAATTGAAAATATTTTAAAACCTTGCTCGCTCGAATTTTCATTTGTTATGAAGGATAATTTTCAGTGAAGATCGAATAACTTCACATTTTATTGTGTATGTTTGAAGGTGGCTTTGATGGCACCAGCAACGTTCTTGCTGGAAAGCTTTTCGGAATTCCTGTTTCCGGTACACACGCCCACGCGTATGTTTCGTCTTATTCGCATTACGACGAGCTGAAACTTCGCGTGAGTGTTGGGATTGCATGTATAGTTCAACTTGAAATGTTATTGGGATTTTCTTATTTTTGTGTCTCCACATGCCTACGACTTCTGCGTTACTTAGCTTGCAAAAAATATTTAACTTTTTTTTCTAAACAGCATTCAATTTTTCTTTTCCGATTTTTATTTTATAGTGTGTTATTCAACATTTTTAAAAAATTAGCTCATGTCTTGGGATGCATTTTTAACTGAATTGACATTTTCTTCGGAATGAATCTGTCAGTTTTCGCGAGTTGTGTTCAACGTCTTTGTTGCTTCAGTTTATTTTTACTTTTCGTGGATTACTTATCCATGATCTCTGTATCCGAGGAATTCAATTATCCCCCGTTTGTACAATATTCCATTTTTATTAGAAATTGCGGAAAGCTGGAGAAACTGAAGGGGAAGGAGAAGATTTTGTGGAAATCTGTCTGAAGTGGCGACCGAAGGTTTCTGAGACCTTGGGCATCCTGGAAGAAGAAGCGAGTCACGGGGAGCTGGGGGCTTTCATTTCATACGCCATCGCGTTTCCGTCCAATTTTCTCGCATTGGTCGACACTTACGATGTTACACGAAGCGGATTACTAAATTTCTGCGCCGTTGCGCTAGCCTTGAATGACCTCGGTTATAGAGCTCTAGGAGTTCGCATAGATAGTGGGGATCTCGCATATCTATCCTGCGTCGTGCGGGACGCCTTCGTGAAGATAGCTTCGGAGTGAGTAACCGTCTTGAATGATTTTCTCATCATGTTTGTATTATTCAAAGAGGAATTAATATTCTCCAGTATTTTCGGGAATCGTAACCCTGACGAGGAATTTTTCCCATTGATTCTTAGTAATTTAACAGTACTGTATTTCACGTTGATAGAAGTGGTATTGACGGGAAGGTCGCTCCTTGAGTTTTGTGTCCACGAAAATCAGCTGTTCGCTTTGACCCTGGTGAGAGAATTAGTCGCAGTTCGCGTGTGGGAGGCTCGTTCGACACAAGTCTATTGTTTTGATTCATGGGCACATTAGATTTGGATTTCATAAAATTCTTGAGTTGCCTCGTTGCAATTCTTGTAATTCACAAGGTATGGTCGATTTTACAGTACTTCGCATTAGAATATATTCATGTGAGGCAAATTTTATGGCTTTTCTCCGCATTATTTTTTTATAAATTTTTTCTTCGGGAAGTTTTGTACAATATTTGTCACAATACCAGGTACGACGTGGATTGGTTTGCCAAACTGACGATTGTGGCGTCGAATGATATCAATGAAGACACCATTTTATCACTGAATGAACAGGGTCACAAAATCGACGCTTACGGGATCGGCACGCATCTGGGTTCGCATCACCGCCTTACTTTGACTCTAACCTATCCCTTATTTCTGCCTGCCCTACCCTTCAGTTCATGTCTTCAGTTTTGTTGTATGCTCGGCTGGCATGTGCTCTTTTCTTGTGGGCTTCCTCGGGCTTTTTGTCATAGTGAACGCGACCTTCAAGTTGCCCGATGATGGAGAGGATTTTTCCGCCACTTTCTTCCCTTGCATTCTCGGCGATTCCGTAGTGACTTGCCAGCGGCAGCCGGCCTTGGGATGCGTTTTCAAATTGGTCGAGATAAATAAAACCCCGAGAATCAAGCTGAGTCAGGATGTGGAAAAAATAACTATTCCTGGAAAAAAGGAGGCCTATCGACTGTATGGCCACGATGGTAAGGCTTTTTTTTTTTTTACTTTCGATTTACGAATTTTCTAAAACTCCCGTGTTTTTCGATTTTTTTTTATTCCCAGGACATGCGTTAATTGATCTGTTGGTGTTACCGGATGAACCTGAACCGCAGGCTGGGCAACGAGTGCTTTGTCGTCATCCATTCTTGGAATCGAAGCGAGCTTATGTTTGTCCAAGTCGTGTTCAAAAGCTGTACAAGGTAGAGCCACTTATTGAAACTTTATCGACTGAACAGTATAAACTGACACATAACTTCGTTCATAATTTTTCCCTGTTCATGGAAATAGTCGAATGAAGTGTCGTTCAAACTTCTGGACAATTTTCTAGCATTTTCAAATACAAATTTCGCTATAATCGCTATCATATTAGACTGCTTTCGCCCTGAAAGAATACTTCGAACGAAAAAATCTTTCTCTGTCGTGCATTCAGAAGGAAAGTATTTTGAAACTTGTATTTTAATGTTTATTCAAGGATCAGCATTGACGAATCTTGATTTGCAGGTATTTTGGGACGGCAAACGAGTGGAGATTGAATCTCCGAATCTTACAAATATTCGCAATAAGGTGAAGGATTCTTTGAGCAGCTTGCGTCAAGACCACAAACGAAACTTGAACCCAACCCCTTATAAGGTATGTTGGAATTTCATTGAAATGAAGTACTGTGTACTGTAATGCGAAAAGTCACGAATGAAAAAGTTGCACTGTAATGCGAAGAGTCACGAATGAAAAAGTGGACAGATTCGAAAGGGAAGGATACTTTTTAATGTTGAGGTTAACAATTCTCTGTAAAATACTTCGCTCGTCAGCTTGGGATTACAGTGGAACAAATTTCAGGTCCTGACTAGTTCAACGCTCTACCTTGTTCGGAATGTTCGTCAGTGTCGCCTGAATTACCAAGTTGACTGAAAATGGCTCTTGAACGTAACTTAACCTCACCCCCTCGAAACTTATTTTAACGTCATCTGACTTCTAAAGTTCTAATCGACGAAATTCGGTACTCCTGTGATGTGGCAGAAAATTTTGTAGTCTAGGAAATTCGGCTGTAAAAGGAAAAGAACTTGAATTTCGATGTTGCAGACACGTCTTGCTATGCTTTTCTCTTTTGAAATTCAACGTTCATGTGTGACTTATATGTCGATAAATTTTATGCAGGTGGGTGTTTCGGATGCGCTGTATCACTTCATCCACGACCTGTGGCTGGAGAATGCCCCGATCGGCGAATTATCCTGACTGCCGCATTGGGGAGATAGGCGCTGAAGACGTGCACCAAGAAGCTCCTGCTTTTTGATGTCGTTGTCAGCGTTTTTCTCCTCATGATATCCTTCTTTCGCTACGTGCGTTGAAACCTCGTCCACTGGTCCCACACTCCCCTTTGTCTTGAATTGGTCCATGTTTGGAATTATCTTGTCTGCAGAACTTGAATTGCATTTGGAAAAGAAGCGCGGTGAGCCGGTGCTCGATGTATTTCGAAGCGTTATCGCGTGAAGTAGTTTATTCGTAATTGTGGCCCGAAGTTGCAGTTGTTTTAACGGGATAGAATGTAAGTTTAAATTTCAAAACTTAAATTTTATACCCGAGAAAATATCGGGTGCGCCGAAGATCGCAATAAGTGTTTCTTGTCCGCCATTGGAGAAAGGGACATTAGAAATCAAAAGTGATGAAAGATTTTTGAAGAGAAACTTTTTAAGCACGTATGCGCAGAAGGTTCAATGAGGGGATTCGCTTGTTAGAAGGATGAGACGTTGAAATCGTGATGGTAAACAAGGTTTGCAATCTGCCATGGATGGTGTAGTTAATGAGGTTCTGGTCATATTCTTGCAATGGTCGTAGAGCTGTATTCCAGGTTTTTGGTGTAACCACTTGATCCATATTGTTGGGTGTTTGCGAGCTATTAAAGTCGGTTATTTGTTACTGCGGAGTTCGAGTCGATTTGAATATATAGTACCTTTCCCCTACGAGTATTCGGGAAATTCTTGTGTATGATTTACGCCTTCGTAACTTTTTTCAATTAATTTTTTCGCCCTCAGAAGTACCATCGTTTCGATGAAGCGTCAAGATATATTTATTGCGGAAGTTCTCGTATATTTCAAACTGTCATTTTCTCAATAAAATTCGCTCGAAGAACGCTGACCGGAAGTGCAGAATTCCAGAAAGGCTTGATTAATAACATTTCCGTAGGCTTCTGTTCTTTTGCGATGAAGCTTGAGGATTTAGTTCCTCTGAGTGGTTCTTGCTCCGCCTTACCGGGAAATTTGAGTGTTTATCCCGGCGATTCAAAATGGAAGAAGTTGCTCGTGGGTGTCGTGAACAGGAATCACCTGCTAATAACATCTGTCGTGCCGGGCGAGCTACACGGCATGAAGGAGATATTCTTGCGAGATAAATTGGCCGGTGAAAAACTAGCTTTGCATGATGCCACCATCTTGAAAGTCAGATTAAATTTTTTAGCACCTGTTTCTCGAGTTCATTCACTTGGTTTTTTTAGGCTGACTGGTGCAAGCTGCGTGATGCCTCCTTTCTGGTTCTCTGTGCAACCAGTGGATTTCAGATTATGGATGACGAAGGATTTCAAGTGGTCTTCACTTATTGCTTTGCAGACGACGACTCTGTGGATGAAGCGAAATGGGAATACGCTGCGTCTGTCACTCACGTGGGCAACTTTATTTTCATAGGTAGGTTTGATTGTAGATTTTGAGGATTTCATGGTTTTCTTTTATTTGGATATATAGTATTGAAGATTTGCTACCTCTTCTTTGGTTCGGTTCAGATTCTGTGAAGTAGATTTTGGGCGGGTTATTTATTTAGTTTGCGTCTTTCTGACATTATAAAAGGAAGGTTGCAGAGAAATGGACCGAATTCCATAACGTTGATCATGAAGGATTGAAGAAGGTGCATGCTTTCGCTCGCAGGATCCTCATCTGGATTTTTTTACGTCGTTGCGATGATGGTACAAAAAGAGAAGACCTCAGTCGTGTGCACAGCAAGTGTGATTCGTTATTTGAGAGGCCATACGTCGTGTGTTACAACGATGACTTCGGTGTCTGATCGAACCCTGGTTTCTGGTGATGCGTCCGGAAAAATAAGCGTATGGAAAAATTTGCCTGACTTGCAGAAGGTTTCTTCGTTTGTGGAATCACACGGGTGAGTTTCTTTGCCGTTTTTCTACCTTTAAAGAAAATCAGGGTACATTTTTTTTTCTTGGGCAATTAAGGCCGGTGTCGAGCATGAAAAGTTGGAATCATTTCGTGGTGGCGGCATTTGGTGACGGAATTTTTCACGTCATCGACATTCTGAACTTGATCACGATTGCGAAAGTCAATGCTCATTCCAGGTAAGTTGCTTGTGGTGTATGAGGTCTCCGTAGGATTTTTTTTCTTTCGAAAAAATGATCACTGCATCAAAGCAAAGATACTGTACTTGACTCCAAGAAAGTGTTGGTACTGTAGTTGTAGCTGGAATTGGCGAAAGGGTAGAAATTGAGGATCCTTCATCTCTATATTTATTGCAGCGATAGTTCATCCATTGTCAGAGAGTGGTTTGCAATAATGGGGAGCCAAAAGAGCAACATGACCAATCTGCTTGACTATTTGAAAATAAACAGTTGGATGCTTCGGCTTTCTGGTAATTAAATAAAAAGTATTGGGATATCGTGAATCAGTTGGATTTCTTGAAACGTTTCATCACCCAGTCGAATAATAATTTTCTGTGATAAGTTTTGCGTGCGGTAGAGTGCGACGCAGTTTTTTTTCCAGTAAGATCCTTGTCAAACGAAAAAAAAAAGGACTGGGAGTTTTATTTCCATGGTGAAAGAAAAAAAAAGGACTGGGAGTTTTATTTCCATAGTGAACTTAGCCTTTCTAGGGCGTCTTTTCTTCACGTTTTCGTGCGAATACTTACTAAGGGGTTCATTTTCATGAAGATGGATCAGCGGACTGGATATTGCACCGGAATCGGGAAAGCTGATCACCTGCTCGGAAGATTCTATCGTCTCACTCTGGCAGCTAACAACGAAAAGGGGCGATCAGGTGGGGCAATCAAATGGCCGCGTCGATTGTCTTCGCCGTAATGCAGGTTTCATTTCTTGTCCTGTTGCCATCAGATATCGCATGTGGAAAGTTTCGATATCCCGAATGCCATGTTCACGGGGGTCAAGTTCATCGATCCGATGGGCAATCGTGTCTGCGTCAGCATCTATGATAAAACCGAGCTCCCCGTGATATCTACGGTCACCTGAAAAAGCTGAAAAAAAGAAGAAAAACATTCACTGCGTGTATTTTTTATGCATTCTCTCACCGACCGAAGTGATTAACGAGTTTTAATGATTGTCTAGTCTCGATGATCTCGGCACTTGAAGTGTGATTTGAAAGCAATTAAAACTCTCTTGTGTTCTCGAAGCCGTCCGTGATGAACCGATCTCAAGTAAAGTTTACTATGTGTTGTGTCAGACTTGCGAATGTCTTCCACGATTTTCGTGGACTCTTTTTTTTCTCTTTTTTGAGTCGTTATCGTTTTATTTTGAAATTTTCCTGTAATGTTCAAAGATGGAGCGTCGTCGCATTTTCGTCGGCGGTCTGTCAAATCAGGTTACTCAGGATGACCTCAGGTCAAGATTTGTGCGTTTCGGTGACGTTGTCGACGTTGAATTGAAGGAAAAGTCGCATCCAACGACAGGGGAACCCAGTTATTTTGCTTTCGTAGAGATTCATGCGACCGAAGACAATTTGTCCAAGTGTAAGTTTTTTAACCCGTGTGAACCGCGAACATTAACTAATTTTTCAGTAGTGAACCGTTTCCGCAAAAAATTAACATATCATCGGAGTCAAAGACCTTGCATCATTTTCAAACACCTCATCTAACCTGAACAATGTTGAGAAAAAACGAAGGGGACATTCGTGACGTTCATTTTGATGAGCGGAAAATGGCTAAATCGGAGTTCGGGCTTTATAATTTCGCCGGAGTAAAAGCGTCGATCACCTCTCAACAGTTGTATTTCTTGCAGTAGACGTTCAGTTAATCCTAAATAAAGTATAACAGCTCTTCTCGTACGATAAACCCCAAAATAAAACTTTCGTGGTTTTTTTTTCTGGAAAAATGAAAAGGTATTTTAGGAAACGCGGTAATTCCTAATAATCTTTGTCTTGCGAAATTCTTCAATTTCTTGTTTTGATTTTCATCTTCAAAGTAGCCTCAGGAATATATTCCTGAATTTTAATGGAAAAAATAATTTCTTCACAAACCAGGTTTCAAGTTATTTTCCAACACAAGATGGAAAGGAGGTACGATGAGGTTGGAAGTCGCGAAAGAAAACTTCCTCTCTCGCCTTCGAAAGGAGCGGGATGAGAATGCTAGTATCAGTGTAGCAGCCGAGGAATCCGTTCCTTCAAAGAAACGTTCAAGTAAATCAACACCTCCTGAACCTATTCCTCCGGTTTTGCAACGAAGTCCGCAAAAAGAGCTCAAGGTAGTCTCATTCTTGACAGAGGAGGAAGAAGAAAAACTGACGAGTGGGTCTGGAAAGAAGATTTCGAAGAAGGCATGTCGTTTGAAAACCTTTGTTCCTTTTTAATTTTTGTTTATCCGTTGAACAAATTGAAATAATTTTGAAGTCCTGCTGATGCACACAATTTTAAAATGGTATATTGAAGGATTAATTATTTTGATACATGATTTTCTGATGTAATATGTGTACTTTACTTGGTATTAACAGTGTTTTCTCATCGATTTTCAGATCAAGATCGAGAAACAGGAAAGCGTTTCTCCGAGTCTCGAAAAAATCAGTGGCAAAAAAAAGAAAAAGAAATTGGAATCCGATTCAGATGACAGCGAAGACGATCACTGCGGCATTCCTAATTTCAATGGCTTATCGTCGCTAGAAAAAAGTCCGGCATCAGTCACAGCTTCATTATTTTCTGTTCCTACACCTCGGAAAAACGATACAACTTCGAGTTACCCCAAGAAAAGAAAATATGAAAGCGATTCTCCTCGTGATGCCTTGTCGGAGAACTTGTCCTTCGAAACTATGAGAAAAACGAAGAAATTGAAAACGGAGGTCGATGATGGAGATCAAATCGGTGAGTTTTCATTTTTAAATTTGAAACGTTTCCGAAGCTCAATTTTCGCGGGTTATTTTTCCGCGTGATTAAACGTTTTAAAACGGGCATGCTTTCCGTCGCTCCTTCAGTTTTTCTAGTGAACGAACTCCGAAACATTGAATTACTCATGACTGAATTTTGGTCTAATTCAAAGCCATGACCATCAATTCTCCCACGTGTAGACACCCCAGTGAAACATCCATGGGCAAGTAAACTTGAAGCCTTTTCCAGTGATGTCTGGAATAGGAACGACGAATCTGTCTCCACGAAGAAATCGAAAAAGACCGTATCGATTTCGGATTCCGTCGCTGATCCCGTAGTAAAAATTTCAAAACAGGAACCTTCCGTCAAGAATGGTAATTATCCGCCTCTCTACTGTATTGAATTTGTGTCTCACGTCACTGTTTTCTGTTCAAGACCCAGCTTTGGAGAACAAACGAAAACAATCGGAAGCCGTAAGGATGGCAAAAATCAAAGAAATGCAGAATGCGATTAATCGCCGTAAGGCGATCCTTGAAAAAGCTCTTGGCTCGATGGTTAGTCTCAGATACGATTTTCGTTTATTACTGTACGTAGAAGTTCGCTATATTCACCGTGATTGATATCCGGTTATTAAAAGAGAACTCATCGCACCGGTTTTATTTCCAGGGACAGGAAAGCTCTCAGCCGTGCCCGAATAAACGAGTGATTTTTGATGATGATGATGATGTTGGTCATGATATTCCTCTTGCTGGAATCAAGGATGAAAATGTTGAAACTCATTCTGCGAAGATAAAACGTGCGTTGCCGTTAAACGACGAGGATTCCGAAGAAGAAAACGACAACAAGCTTCGTATTCGTGAGGAATTTCTTGCGGAAGGTGGAAATGAGGTTAGCCATTACTTCAAATTTTTGGAAATTCTGGAGTTCTTAACTTTTGCGAATGTTTATGAAGTAATTCGAAAGGTTTTTATTTTTCCGCGTTATACATTCGTCGTTTTTTTTTTTTAAATATCTTCGAATTGTTCCACGATTTTGTTGCTTCTTGTCATCTTGTGGACGATTTGAGTTGCGCTACTTTTTTGGGACTAGCTGAAATCCAGTCTACGGAGGAAATTCTAAATAAATTGTCAGTTTTCTTCAAGCCTGGATTGAGTTGGAAAACGCAATTGTTTTTTCTCATTTCGTTTTCGTGGTCGTGTACTGAGAGGATTTTCCCAATCCTCTCACTGCATTTGAGTGATAATCTCAATGCCTTTCGGAACTCGGATCGATATGCAGTATACCATATAAAGAACAATACCGTCTCATTTCATACTATCTTGCTTCACATCGAAGGAATAAAGCAATACCTGCGTGTTCTCCCCTTCACTTCCGTAGCTGCTGGCATTGGAAACGAGATACGGAGCTGATGAAAGATTCAAGCTCGATTCTAGATTTCTTGGTGACAAGAACCATGAGCCCGAAGTTGTAGTTGCTCCTAAGAAAAGGTCAGTCAGGGGTTGCGTGATATGAGGACGGTTACGGTATATTCCCGTCTTCCTCCATATTTTTCAAAATTGATGTTCTCGAACATTGCATTTTAGCTCAAGAAAATCTACGCAAGGACTTGTTCGATTCGATCCCACGCGTTCGGATCACGTAGCAAAGTTTCAGATTCCAGTGCCTGATGTGACCAGCACGAAAGTAACTGTCAAAAAAGGGAAAAATAAAACGAAGGGTGTTCCGAAAGAAGATTTAGTGGAAGAAGCGGTTGCTGAGACAAGCGGTGTACCACAGACATCGGTTGAAAAGTTTTACAAAGTCTCAACTAAACTGAAAGATGTGTTGGGAAAAGAGAAACAGGAAGAGGATTCTAGCTTCTCTCTTGCTGCCTTGTTCGCGCAGTCGGCAGGATTGCAGGAATCAAAAGATGAACGTAAGAATTCGGAAAATCGTCTTCGTTATCCGAGTCTTGAACTCTCGAATCAAGAGATATCCCATCTTCCCTCATGGAAAAGGAAAATCTTGTTCGAAATAAAAAAATACACAAGTGTTCCTGATTATTTTAAGTTGTTTTCATAGAGGAAGATTTTTCCTGAAAATGATCAATTCAAGACAGAATTTATTGCAAAAATTGAGACTTGAAATGCTACGAAAAATTAAACCTCGAAGACTACTTCGAAATGATATGTCACGTCAGAAGCGACGAAATACGGTACTTTAATTCGTTTTCCCATTTGATATTTCGTCAAAGCTGGAGGAAAATCAGCGTCAAGACATTGCCTGTACCTAGAACCACGGTTTTTATTTCCATTTAGTTATTAAGATCTTGTTATGAGTTGTTTTTTGAACAGGTGAAGTGGAGGATGAAGCTGTGCCTACGTATGAAAAACCAACCGGAAAAGTACCTGCTTGGCTTCTAAAAGCTCAGAGTACTGATGCACTGATGGAAACCATGGATGAAGAAGGAAATGAGAACCAGGATGAAACCAAGTTGGAATCGTCCAACTGGAAAGTATCAAAGTTGGAACCCAACTTTGACAACCCGGAGTTTAGGAGTGAGTTCGCTGAATTCATTCACTTTTTAGCAGCAACATGTGATGGGAACGATACATCGTAGTGTAAGTTGAGTTAATTGTATTTTGGAGCAGAATTTTCGCTTTTTCATCGTCGACCAGTGCGAATTTAATTTTGGCGAAACCCCCTGGTGCTTCGGTTTAAAATTTAATAACTTTAATTTGTCGTTCCCCTGACTGTCGTTTCAGGGAGCCCATCAACTTCCCTGAATTAATTTCATTCACAATATGACTCGTTCGTATTTAAGATCGCTTTTTAAATTCGAAAACATGCGTTTCAAGTATTGGTTTCTTTTTGCAGACTTGATGGAGTATTATCAGCGACTGTCGAAGGTTGACCCGGTGGCTCGAAATCGGGAGTGGGCTGCAAAACGGAGAGACTTCATGGACATGATTTCGCGTCGCGTTCATCAAGTGAGACGTGCCAAACGAAATCGTCTTGGAGTGAAGCCTAACATGCCTGCAGCATTTAGGTACATACGCTCCTTCCGCTTCTTTGTTCGTGGCTGCTGTCCGTGGCTACCGCGTCGTTACACTACGGAGAGACAATACTGAAGACGGCGGTTAAGCGAACCATCGGTAATAAAAAAAATAAATAAAAACTCACGCATTGGCGTTGCGAAAACGACGCCAAACGAATATTCATTTCCGTGCTGTATATGGTAGGATAAATTTTACGCGCGGGTTCCTGGAAAGTCTTGAAAATCGTCAATACAATTAAATGTGATGCTTGGCATGTTTCAGCGTCGGGTGACTGAATAATTGTAATAAGGCTGTTTTCTGATTTTGCTCTCCAACTGTGCAATTACGTGTCTGTAGGGTCCTTGAATCTTGTTTACGTTTTGCAGCTTTGACTTTTGGGAGGATGAAGCTACAAATGAGGGTGACGAGTTGATTTGAAACCGTGCGCACTCCTGAGTTCCTCGCAGGTTGCATGGTTGCCTTGAATTGCGATGGAAAGAAAGAGACGTGAAGATTTTTCTGACACTGGTTCCTTTCGAAACTTTTTACCCTCTCAAAATCACGCAGTGACTTATGATTTTGATTTCAACAAGGCTGGCCAAATTTGATGCGTTCTGTGTGTAACTCGGGGGTTGGGATGATATTAAATCATGTTCACAGCTCATTTTCATTCTGGCTCCATCTTCATGGGAGGTAAATTGGTACTGTATAAAATTGAAGGGCGCTACAGACGAATCACCATCCTTTTGAAGACAACGATGAAACATCTGGCGAAATTAGTCGATAATCAGGCGATTTTGTAACATCTCATGTACTCCTTTTCATCCGGGTAAGGTTGGCTTGCAAAAATAATGCGTGTCATCGAATTTATGAGAGAAAAACTCGAGGGACGGATGAGTTTGCAAAACATTTCTTGTGCGTTGAGATAATATCAAGCCAAAAAATCTTTTCTTTATCCTTTAGGCGACCAAATTCTTGATTACTCTGTTCTGAATAGCTTTTAAATTTATGCGGAACTTGTGGGTGTAGATCATGATTTTAGTCACTTTCTCATTTCTTTAGAGGCCCGTTCGCATAGTGGAAAATTTGATTTTTGAATATTGAATATTTGCTGCCTTGTTCGCTCCACTGAATTGGATAAATCTCGCTGTATTTCATCACCGGATGAATTTTGAGGTCAAGTTTAATGCGTCTTATTGAGCAAGCTGCCTTGCTTATATAGGCGAGTCTATACATGATGGCACCGAAGCCCAAAATTAATGAATGAAATCATCGCAAAATTCCTGGACCGTGATTTATTTTTCAATTTCGTGCCCGAATGGCGTAACATTTTGAACGAACAACAATGTCAAATAAATTCTGCCCTTTCATCAGAGGTAATGGTTTCGACTTCTGAGTAAATGAAAACGATGAGAATTATCATATGAACTCATAAGGTTGATGAATGGAAGGGAATATGTTTAATGAATGAGAATTTCGATTATTTAGCAAGGACAACTGAAATGTTAGTCATTTGGCCTTGAATTTGTAAGAAGAGCCCAAAGGCAGATGTAACTTTTAGGAACTCGGCGTGAAAGGGTTCTTGAACCTATTCGTCTTTTAAGTGGCGTTGATGTCCAAATGCAACTTCCCTTACCCTTGCATGGGTTTCAACCTCATTATGTTCCTGAACTTGTTTTGTGCAGTATAGCAAATTTCGAATGATTTAATAATTGAATATAACTTGAAAGGAACCCGTATGCAGTTCTGCAGATGTGCCTATTACCCACTAAGGCGTGTGACACACATTACATGCGGCACCGAGTCTCCATCAGAAGAAAGAACATTCTGAAGTCGCTTCTTAAATATGAAATAATGTATTCTACAGTATATTATTGACAAGTCGACAATTTCTTGGATTTCAGTCTGTATATTCAAGTCGTGATAATCGCAAGGACGATGGAGAAGTGAAATTCTCCTCGGACGGCAAACAAAAAGAAGGAATTTTTAGGTTTAAATAATTGCCGATTTTCTCATCGGATACATTTTGCTGAAAGCTTCAAGTTAGAGTATCATAAGCCAAGGACATTTTTATTCGGAAATAGCTTCTTTAGTGTTGACCGATTTCCCTTCTCCTCGAAGCTGACGAGTATACGCTCATGCGGTGGTGAAGAAGACGAAGAAAAAAGCTGGATCAATCAAGATGAAAATGTGGTTCTTCGATTATTACTGCTGTTGCAAGTTTCCGGGGTTGTGAAACGACGACTTTCGCGTCGATAACCGGAAAAACTGGCTTCCTCGCATTTCGTTAGTTGATGGAGCGACTGACGTCAAACGACGATGACGATGGGTTCTTGTTTTTTCCGGGGGTTTTAGGACGGGATGGATGGTTAAGCTGATGATGGCGACTTCCTATATATTCACTTGTATGTATGGTTTGTCCCCCTGCTGCCACATATTTGTCAATCCCTCCATGTTGTAAACGTTTCTTGATTTCTATTATGAAATACATTTAGTACCGATAAGTTTGTAACGCCATTTGCTTAGGTATGCGTTCACGTAGAAGTCGAAAGAGTAATGATATACTGAGTGTATTTTTTAATATATTGTGACGAATTATACTTTCAACGCATTATTCTTGCTGCTTGAAAGTCATTCTTTATTTACGTCGCCAATCATATGTAAATTGATAAATGAGTCANCCTCACTTCGGATTGTACGGACGTCGTAAATCCATGTATGCGAGGAAGGCGAAGAAACAAGCACCGACGACAGGCACCGATGGCGCAGCAATGTGATGCCTCTCTGTTATGACTTCTGCCGCCAATTCCGAACCATCGGTAATAAAAAATAAATAAATAAAAAAAACTCACGCATTGGCGTTGCGAAAACGACGCCAAACGAATATTCATTTCCGTGCTGTATATGGTAGGATAAATTGTACGCGCGGGTTCCTCGAAAGTCTTGAAAATCGTCAATACAATTAAATGTGATGCTTGGCATGTTTCAGCGTCGGGTGACTCAATAATTTTAGTAAGGCTGTTTTCTGCTTTTGCTCTCCAACTGTGCAATCACGTGTCTGTAGGTTCCTTGAATCTTGTTAACGTTTTACAGCTTTGACTTTTGGCAGGATGGAGCTACAAATGAGGGTGACGAGTTGATTTTAAACCGTGCGCTCTCCTGAGTTCCTCGCAGGTTGCATGGTTGCCTTGAATTGCGATGGAAAAGAAAGAGACGTGAAGATTTTTCTGACACGGGTTCCTTTTGAAACTTTTCACCTTCTCAAAATCACGCAGTGACTTATGATTTTGATTTCAACCAAGGCTAGCCAAATTGTATGCGTTCTGTGTGTAACTCCGGGGTCGGGATGGTTTTGATCATGGTCACGGCTCATTTTCATTCTGGCTCAATCTTCATGGGAGGGAAATTGGTACTGTATAAAATTGAAGGGCGCTACAGACGAATCACCACCCTTTTGAAGACAACGATGCAACATCTGGCGAAATTAGTCGATAATCACGCGATTTTGTAACATCTCACGTACTTCTTTTCATCCGGGTAAGGTTGGCTTCCAAAAATGATGCGTGTCATCGAATTTATGAAAGCAAAACTCGAGGGACGGATAAGTTTGCAAAACATTTTTTGTGCGTTGAGACGATATCATGCCAAAAAATCTTTTCGTTATCATTTAGGCGACCAAATTCTTGATTACTCAGTTCTGAATAGCTTTTAAATTTATGCGGAACTTGTAGGTGTATATCATGATTTTAGTCACTTTCTCATTTCTTGAGAGGCCTGTTCGCATAGTGAGAAATTTGATTTTTGAATATTGAATATTTACTGCCTTGTGCGCTCCACTGAATTGGATAAATCTCGCTGTATTTCATCACCGGATGGATTTTGAGGTCAAATTAAATGCGTCTTATTGAGCAAGCTGCCTTGCTTGTATAGGCGAGTCTACACATGATGGCACCAAAGCCCAGAATTAATGAATGAAATCATCACAAAATTCCTGGACCGTGATTTATTTTTCAATTTCGTGCCCGAATGGCGTAACATTTTGAACGAACAACAATGTCAAATAAATTCTGGCCTTTCATCAGAGGTAATGGTTTCGACTTCTGAGTACTGTAAATGAAAATGATGAGAATTATCATATGAACTCATCAGGTTGATGAATGGAAGGGAATAGGTTTTATGAATGAGAATTTCGATCATTTAGCAATTACAACCGAAATGTTAAGTCACTTTGGCCTGGAATTTGTAAGAAGAGCCGAAAGGCAGATCTAACTTTTAAGAACTCGGCGTGAAAGGGTTCTTGAACCTATTCGTCTTTCAAGCGGCGTTGATGTCCAAATGTAACTTTCCTTTCCCTTACATAGGAGATTTCGACATCACTATGTTCCTGCACTTGTTTTGTGCAGTATAGCAAATTTCGAATGAGCCAATAATTGAATATAACTTAAAAGGAACCCGTATACAGTTTTGCAGATGTGTCTCTTACCCACTAAGGCGTGTGACTTACATTACATGCGGCACCGAGTATCCATCAGAAGAAAGCACATTCCGAAGTCGCTTCTTAAATCTGAAAGAATGTATTCTATATTATTGACAATTCGACAATTTCTTGGATTTCAGTCTGTATATTCAAGTCGTGATTATCAAGGACGATTGAGAAGTGAAATTCCCGTCTTGGAAATTCTCGTCGGACGGCGAACGAAAAGAAGGAATTTTTAGTTGTAAATAGTTGCCGATTTTCTCATCGGATACATTTTGCTGAAAGCTTCAAGTTGGAGTATATAATAAGCGAAGGACATTTTTATTCGGAAATAGTTTCTTTAGTGTTGACCGATTTCCGTTCTCCTCGAAGCTGACGAGTATAGGCTCATGCAGTGGCCTTCTTCTGCTTCTTTTTTCGACCTAGTTAGTTCTACTTTTACACCAAGAAGCTAATAATGACGACAACGTTCAAAGGCCCCAACACTTTGCTGCTGAAAGCGCAGCTATTGGCCTTTTTGACCGAACCTCGCATTTCGTTAGTTGATGGAGCGACTGACGTCAAACGACGATGACGATGGGTTCTTGTTTTTTCCGGGGGTTTTAGGACGGGATGGATGGTTAAGCTGATGATGGCGACTTCCTATATATATTCACTTGTATGTATGGTTTGTCCCCCTGCTGCCACATATTTGTCAATCCCTCCATGTTGTAAACGTTTCTTGATTTTTATTATGAAATACATTTAGTACCGATAAGTTTGTAACGCCATTTGCTTAGGTATGCGTTCACGTAGAAGTCGAAAGAGTAATGATATACTGAGTGTATTTTTAAATATATTCTGACGAATTATACTTTCAACGCATTATTCTTGCTGCTTGAAAGTCATTCTTTATTTACGTCGCCAAGCATATGTAAATTGATAAATGAGTCAATTAGATATATATACCTATTTGGTTGTT